CAGCTGAACTTAACCCTAATTAATACAGGGAGGGGTGGGGGAACGTCCCATAGACATAAAGGCCTGGTCTGGGGTGTTAGCCTGCAGAATAAAGGGCTCGGGGCTGACACAGCTGCCATCTCCAAACCTCTGCAGGGTTGACCTGGAACACAAAGGCCAAGGCAAAAGGGAGCCTGGAGGTTGTAAAGAGACTCAATTTCTGTGACTCCACGGAAGGAAAAATTTCCAACAGGGCTGTCCGTCAGAGATTCGATCTGCTACTTTGATGGTAGTGAGCTCCGCATCACTGGAAATGCATGAGTAGAGGCTGGATAATCACTGGGCAGGAATCTTAGAGGCATCCAGGTGTAACAGAAGGAGTACAGGTCTTAGAGCTGGGTCTTAATTGTGCTCTCACCACTTCTTAGTCTCAAATAATCTCAACCTCAGTTTTCTCATTTGTAGAGTATCCAGATAGCTGGGTTGGAGACAGAGACCAAGGAGATTTCCTAGCGCTACCTCACAGGGGTTCCTGAGACCCAGTACTCTAGTGGGAGCGAACTATGAGTCAGGAGGCCTTTGTGAGGTTCCTCGCTCTCTTCAACCTTGACATTTTTGAGCACGCCTGCTCCAAGCTGCCAAGAGAATGCACCTCCTCCTGCTTTGTCCATGAGACTGGAGAGGAGCAGTTGCACCTGAGTCCCGAGGCCTGGGATCTTCTCCCAGTCCTGCCCCTTTCTTCCTGTGTATTACCTCTGTCCCTCCCAGGTCCTCAGTATCCTCATCTGACATGTGAGAAGTGCATCTTCTGTTCTGGACAGTCTGGGTCCAGAATCAGGGCTCTTTTTTTTTTTTTTTTTTTTTTTTTTGACTGCGTTGGGTCTTCGTTGCTGTGTGCAGGCTTTCTCTGGTTGCGGTGAGCGGGGGCTACCCTTCGTTGCAGTGTGCGGGCTTCTCATTGCAGTAGCTTCTCTTGTTGCAGAGCACGGGCTCTAGGCGTATGGGCTTCAGTAGTTGTGGCACGCGAGCTCTAGAGCGCAGGCTCCGTAGTTGTGGCACACGGGCTTAGTTGCTCTGCGGCATGTGGGATCTTCACAGGCCAGGGCTCGAACCCGTGTCCCCTGCATTGCCAGGTGGATTCTTAACCACTGCACCACCAGGGAAGCCCCACAATCAGGGCTCTTAACTACTGTGCCCTACCTATAATTCCAAGTGTGAGCAATTACCATTCACAGCAATACTAATTATCATGTTTCTGCACAGCCTGGCCTTACCCAGGTTCTTTCTCATTCCGGCCCAGGTCAGCCCCGAATGGCACGCTCTCTGCCCCATGAGCTGAGGTCACAGGTCTGGGATGACCCCCAAGGTTCCCAGGCTGTGGAGGGATTTGCTTTCAGCCAGGAGTTTGTCTCCCCTTAGTCACATGCTTGCCTCTCAAGGGGCTCTGTTTGATCTTCCCTTGTCCACTCTGTCTCACAAAGCAGGGGCTACTCAGTTTTGGGGGATTAGAAGCAATGAAATGGGAAATCCGAGGCCAGAGAGGAGCAGATCTTAGGATGTGATTCTATGATCAGGAAAAGGGAGTCATGACTGGAGCCCGGATGGGGAGGGCCAGGAGGGGAGACGGCAGCATCTGGCAGGAGGCCTGGAGGCTGGAACAGTAGAGGTCCAAAGAGCTAGCTCCCTGCACCTGTCAATAATGCCCAGGGCTTGGGGGCTAGAAGGGAGAAGGGGCCATCACCCTGCACAGGTTGACGGCCAGAGCACAGACCCCACCCAGGTGGAGGTGGCAAGTGCCCGGCCTTCCCAAATCCAGAGGCCAAAGCATCTGTGGGAAGGCCACTAGGGAGGAGGGCAGTGAGGGTTGAGAAGGTGAAATTCTGACCACAGTCACTAAGGGTCGCTTTGATAAATAAAAGAGGACAGCTGCCAAAAGAACCATTGTGACCACACAGGGAGGTTGGTGTCTTGATAAGGGCTGTGTGGAAATGCACTTCTAGGAAGTTTTCCTGCAAATATACCTGCACACATGATATATGTACGAGATCTCATTGTGGCTGGTTTGGGAATGTCAAAAGGTTGGAAACAATGCAAATACCCATCAACAGTGGGTTTATTAAGCAAATAATGGCACATCTACATAAGGGAATAGTATGCTGTGTAAAATAGAATAAGGAATTTCTTTATGTATTGATTTGGAAAGAGTTCTAAGATATATTTGGGGGGGGTGGGTTTGCTGTTGTTTGTTTTTTTGGCCGCGCCATGCAGCATGCGGTGACCTTAGTTCCCCAGCCAGGGATGGAACCGTGTCCCCTGCAGTGGAAGTGCAGAGTCTTAAGCACTGGACCACCAGAGAAGTCCCCTAAGATATATTGTTGAGTGAAAAAAGTCAAGATACATGACAGTGTAAATATTATGCTTCCAATTGTTTTTTTAAGGAGAAAATAATGTGTGTTTGTTTTGTTTTGTATATGCAACAAAAATATCTAGAAGGATGAATTAAAAACTAATAACTGATTACCTGTTGGGGCAAATACGGAACACAAATGGAAGAAAGACTTTTCACTGAATACTTTTTTATACTTTCAAAGGCAAGTAAATGTATTGCCTATTTAACAATTAAATAAATACTTTAAAAGAAACAGTGGAATCATTCCAATAATTAAGGCTGAGTGTGCAGCACATACGAGTAATAAAAACCATTGCTGTGCACTGAACAGTTTCTCTGGGCTCCATCCTGAGGAAATGGGTGGCGGCTGCAGTGTGGAAAGCAGGGACGTCAGAGCCCCACCTAGTGGGTACCTGTGAGCGTTGGCCTGCCACCCTCAGGCAGAGCAGTAGGGAGTCTGGAAGCTAGGACCCCAGACTTCCTTCCTTCCTTGCCTTCCTTCTCTTCTGTTCCCAGCCCTCTGTCCTTGGGACCTCTTGGTCCCACCTAAATGGCTTTGGAAGTAGTCAGACTTTTTCAGTTTGCCAGTCTGGACAAGGATTAGGATTGAGGAAAGGGGATTTCATAGGAACTGGAGCAGCAGACTCTCCCCTCCCTTCCTTCAAAACCCAAACCAAGCTCACCTCCTCCAGGAAGAATTCCTTGTGAAACTCACCAAGCCCCAGCCCCTCCTCAACTCAGGGAGGTGGTCTGATGCCCAAGATGGGGCCTGTGTCTCCCTGAAGCAGGGTTCAGGCCTCTTGTCTCTAATTCTCTTCATCCTCTAAACCCCAAGTCCAGCCTCTAGACAAGGGGTATCTCAGGCCAAAGCCAGGTGTGCCCAGCCCTGGCCAGGCTGCCCAGTGAGGGAGATAGTGGACAGAAAAGACACAGACCCTGTCCTGGTAAGCCCCCAGCCAGGCGGGTCAGAATATCCTTACCCACGGTCGCAGTGGCTTGATTGGTTACAAAGGCCATCCCACCCAGGCAGAGAGGCCAGGGCACACTCCCTCTGTTTCAAAGGAGCCTGAGGCTGGGCTCAGGGCAGAGACCCAAACTGGTGAGTGACCAAAGTGACCTAATAGCTCCCTCATCTTGTCGGCACTCCGCACACTCTATTGTCACCCGCTGATACTTGACTCTTCTGAACAGGGCAGTGTCTGATTCAGCTCTGAGTCCTCAGCTGGGGAGGGGCACACAAGCAGGGACCTTGGAGAGAGTTGTGAATTGCTGTGAAGGGCAGAGAAAGGAAATGCCTTGTCTAAGTGTGTGACCTGGGACTAGACCCCAGGTTTCTGACCCCAGCCCAGCACGCTTTCTTCTCTTTCCCTCTTAACAGAGTGGATCGATCCTCTGCGCCTAGGACTGCCCACCCCACCCACTTTCCAAGCCCTTCTACAATGGGTCAGCATCAAGGGCTGCCAAGAAGAATGGGGGAGGAAAGGAGATCTGGGAGGGCTTCCCAGGGGAGGTGGGAACTACAGCCAGTTTTCCTCTTCTAAAACAAATCACTGGGCTCCCCATGAGCAAGTGCCTTTCAGCCACCAGAAGCCACCCCCAGCCCAAAATAGCATCCAAATGGATCCTGGCTTCCTTCCACTGATTTCCTGCTCAAATCAGGTGCATACAAGGTGGCCAATAGGTGGCGCTTTTGTCTCCACAAAATTAATGAGGGGAGAAGGGGGGGGGAGAGAGAGAGGAGTTCAGGGAAAGGGGAGAGAGAGGGGAAGTGTCCAAGAGGGAGGAAGTGGAAAACTGGAAGAAAAAGGAAACCAGAACTTGTCATTTGGCTTGGAAAAGTAGCTTTCAAGATCAGGACTGTGGGTGTGAGTTGTGGGGACATGGATATTGGGGTGAGCTGAGGAATTTTATTGGTGTCTGGGGCTTTCCATCTAAGTTTCCACCTCCACTGGCCTCTTTCTCAGAGGAAGAGAATGACTTTGGAGCCAGGGGAAACTGGAGTCCAGTTCTGAGTCAGTTACTTTGCAGCTTGACCTGGGTAAGTCACTTAACCTTATGAGCCCCAATTTCATCATCTATTAAGTGGAGCTAAGAATTCTAATAATGCCATCCTGCATTCCAGGAATAAACTGTACTTGCTCGACTGTGCATTTTTGTAATACACTACTGGCTTCAATTTGCTGATATTTCATTGACGAGCTCTGCATCTTCTTTCATATGTGAGAATGACTATTTTGCGTGTTCACCCCTTCTTTATCAGTTGTTTTTTTAAATATAAATTTATTTACTTATTTACTTATTTATTTTTGGCTGCACTGGGTCTTCGCTGCTGCACGCGGGCTTTCTCTAGTTGCGGTGAGCAGGGGCTACTCTTCGTTGCGGTGCGTGGGCTTCTCATTGCGGTGGCTTCTCTTGTTGCGGAGCACGGGCTCTAGGCGCACAGGCTTCAGTAGTTGTGGCATGCGGGCTCAGTAGTTGTGGTTCACAGGCTCTAGAGCGCAGGCTCAGTAGTTGTGACGCATGGGCATAGTTGCTCCGCGGCATGTGGGATCTTCCCGGACCAGGGCTCGAACCCATGTCCCCTGCATTGGCAGGCGGATTCTTAACCACTGCGCCACCAGGGAAGTCCCACTTGGTGATTTTTTAAAGACAGAATTGAATTAGGGTTTTGTTTTGTTTTTTCAACACCTCCCAAGGTGTCAAAATTCTTAAGGCACTCTATGACATGTAGCTTTCCAGACAATGAACTCCGTAAGGGCATAAACACTCTCGTATTTGTATCTGTATTGGCCTCAGAGCCCAGCACAGGGCCTGGCACACAGTAAGCCCTCAATGCTGTTGAATAAAGGAAAATTAAAGAGGCATTTTTGAAATAAAATCTTTCTGATTTTCCAGTTCAGTAGTGACCTTTCTAGTATTTCTGTGCAGACATTTCCCGTCTTGTCCTCACTATTTCAAGATCCCAGGGACAGAGACCTACGTGGCAGAGGCAGGAATTGAATTCAGAACTCAAGAAGCACTTCCTGGCTTCAGTAGAGTAAGAAGGGTCCTCACCTTCCCTTCCGTGGAAATTTTTTGGATTTAGAAGGAATTTTTCAAGAAGTGCTGTGAGGCACGAGGAGGGGCTGTAACACCATTTGGAGCAGAAGAAAGTTTGCATTTTCATCTCTGTGGAGCTCTACTCCTTAGAGAACTGAGGGCAGGACCTTCGATAACCTGTTGGGCCCCGGGGAGGGACAATTTTCTTATTGGACCAGTGGGGACCTAGTCTCCACCTCCACCTCTTTCACCTCTTTTGCAGGTCACCACGAGGACTAAAAGTGAGAATGGGTAAGAAGGTGCCAAAGTACTGTCAACCCAATCCTTACTCAGTAAGTCAGGCACAATATTAGACGCTAGGGATTCATTCACTCAGTCAGTCAGTCATCAAATATTAAGTGAAGGGCCACTATGCATCAGGCAAATTAGGTCTGACTCTTGCCCACCGGGGTTAATAGCTGAGGGAACAGGGTCTATCCAGGGTATTTCATACCAAGACTGGGCATACCTACTGCCCTACCTCCAAAGAGGGCCTTCCCTGCCTTCTCAGATTTCCTGAACCGGTCTTCTCTATGAGCTGCCTACGCTCCATGTTCACCCTCAATCACTGCCCTGGAGCCTTAAACTCTTGTATCTAAGAGAGGAGCACCAGGCACGTCCAACATGCAAATCACGTTCACCCGGGGCTCAGACACACTGATCCCCTCCCCCGCCCTTCCCCACACCTAATCCAGGCCCTACTAGACTGAAAACCCTGGGGCAAAGGAGCTTGGAAAAGCCTGATGCTTAGCATTTGGGTCAGCACCAGAGAGCAGGATAGGGTCAAAGGCCAACTCCCGCCCTCATGCTGCAACCTCCTAGTCTCTGCTCAGTGCTGCCCTGTCCTTGGTGCTGGGGACAGTCATGAGTCAGCTCAGGTCCCTGCTGCCCCAGCTCCCAATCCAGCAGGGGAGGTAAAACAGGGGACATAGCTGATGGTGCAGACTCAAGCTTCATCCAGCGGGGCACGTATGGTTCTGCAGCCTGGTCCCACTCCTTAAGGTAGGGAGTAGACTTTTAAACTGAGCCCCAGCCTTGACACGGTGCCTTTCCTCCAGAATACTGTGCATATACTAATCACCCGGGAATTTTGTTAAAATGTGGGATCTGATGATTCAGTAGATCTGAGTTAGAGCTTGAGATTACGCATTTCTAACGAGCTCCCAGGTCTCTGGGACCCGGACCACAGTTGGAGTGGGAGGCTCTAGAGCTCTTGTCTCATTTCTCTGAGAACTGATTGGTAATGTCTCTTCCCCACGGATCCATAAGCTCCTTAAGGCAGGGATCTTGCCCATTTCTTTAGTGATATATTCCCAGTGCTTGGCACATTCAGTAAGTCCTTGTTGGAGGAGTAGCCAACGCTCCCTTATCCATGGGAGCTGGGAATAATCCCACACAGCAGACAAACCCACTGGCCAAATACACTCATTTGCACGCCCCATCTCATCTCCACCAACCTCCGTGGCAGGTGATGGCATTTTACCAGGCCTGCTGTGTGCACAGCTATGGCTTAATCACATCCTAATCCTACTTCATGAACCTCTGCCTAATAACTCACAAGGGGCTCACCCCATGTGGTGACCCAAGATCCTGAGCAAAGCTCCCCCACTGCCTCCCCAGACCACTCCCCCAAGTCACCAGCGGACACACCGGGCCCAGAGGAATGTTTCTTCTTTCTTTTTAATTAAACTAGTTTTAATTAAAAAAAAATAACCTAACAAGTCCCAAGTTTTCCATATGGTGGGGCAGCCCACTGACTCCCCTTGCAGTCAAGGAACCCCTGGTGCTGCTTGTCTCAGAGATGAAGAACTGTCCTCAGGGTCTGCAAGAGCTCAGCCAGGCGCGTCTGTGTGGAAGGGGAGCGCTCTCCCAGTAAGAAACCGAGAACGTACAGGTAACGGGGGGGGGGGGTGCGGGGACAAACTTGTGGGGGGATGAAGGGACAACAGCAAGGGAGTCATAAACCTGGGAGTCTGACCTGGGTTTGACTCCTTGTCTTATAAAAACACCAGGGAAGGTTAAAGAAGTGAGGAGCCAGTCGGGAAGTGGCTTGAGATCGAAGGTCTGGCTTCAGAAGGCTTGGAGTTCACCAGAAACCCGAGGTGAGGGCTCACAGGTGGTGATCCAGGGTCTCCAGACGTGGGACCCAAAAGGGGGCTGGCGGGTGGGGGGCGTGCACAGTGGAGGGCGAAGAAACGGGGGCCTTACAGTTCGCGGTGGGGAGGGGATTCAGTCCGGTGGAGAGACAGCGGGAGGCTCCCCAGAGATGGGGGTTAGAGACAGATGCAACAGGTGTGCTCAGTCCATCAAGCAGAACTGGGAGCTCCGAGGTGCGCTCCAAGCCAAGGGGGCACAGATGGGGGCCCCGGGCAGCGCCCCGTCCTGGGGGAGAGGGGCCCGAGCCACTCCGCCGGGCTGGAAGGGCTCACAGGTAGCGCTCCAGCCCCGGCGCGTAGCCCGGCGGCCGCAGGTAGGCCTCCCCCGGGCCGAGCGGGCCGAGCGCGGCCGCCGGCCCTGCCAAGGCCAGCAGCGGCTCTGCGGGCAACGGTCCGGGGCCAGGACGCGTCGGGGGCAGCCCCAGGCGGTCGGGCGGCGGCGAGTAGAGAGGCGGGGAGGCGGCTGCCGCGCAGGGCGGGAAGGCGGCGTCGGGCGCAGCGCAGCAGGGCGGCTCGGGGGCGCCCAGCCCCGCCAGCTCGGGCGGCAGGCTCACCAGGCTGTCGACGCTGAAGAGGCGCGCGGGCGGCGTGGAGCCCGGAACGGCGGGAGGAGGCGGCGCGAGCAGCGCGGGGCCGGGCGCGTAGGGCGCGTAGGGGAAGGGCGGCGGGCCGGCGGCGGGGGCGGGCGGCGCGGCAGGGAGCGCGGGCATCTCGGCGCGCTTGAACCGCTTGCGGCGCCGCAGGAAGCTGCCGTTGTCGAACATGTCGGCAGCCGCCGGGTCGAGCGTCCAGTAGTTGCCCTTGCCCGGGTTGCCCGGCTCGCGGGGCACCTTGACGAAGCAGTCGTTGAGCGTGAGGTTGTGGCGGATGCTGTTCTGCCACTTGCGCGGGCTGTCGCGGTAGAAGGCGAAGCGCTCGGTGATGAAACGGTAGATGGCGGCCAGCGTGAGGCGGCGGCCCGGGGCGTGAGCCAGCGCCATGGCGATAAGCGCGATGTACGAGTAGGGCGGCTTCCCTCGCTGCAAGGGCCGGCGGCGGCGGCGGCCCGGGCCCGGCGCTGGCGCAGGTTCCGGCTCCCCGCGGCCCGCGGCCGCCTCCTCGGGCTCCGGCCCGGGCTCGGCTCCGGCAAGCGGCGACGGCGGCGGCCCCGACGGCGCGACCGAGGGCGGGGCCGGGAAGCCCGAGAAAGCAGAGGGCGGCTCCATGTCGCTGCGCCCAGGCATGAGAATGCGGCGGGCTGCCCGAGCTCTCGGAGAGAGCTGGGGCCGCTGACCCTCCTTATATGGACACGGCCCCCTCCCCCTGTGCCCCAAACCAGGGGCGAGGGCTCGGACCTTCTCCGCTGGCCAGCGCCTCCCCTCTAATTTGCCTTTCCAATCCTCTTACTCTTACTGCTGACAATTCTCCCCCATTCCCATCCCCATCCCCCAACATTTCACCCCTCCCTTGGTCTCGTCCCTTTGGGTCAGTCAGCCCCAGACCCAGCCTCATCCCTTCCTCATCTCCGTGGGGTCAGTCCCTGGCCCTGGCCCTGGCCCCGGCCCCGGCCCCGGCCCCATCCCACCAGATTCCGTCAGCCCCCTTTCCTTTCTGCTCCTCCCTCAACCTCCACCCCTTTGGCTCAATGCCGATCACAAATCCACCCATTCAGAGCACTCTCTGGGCCCCCTCCCCATTATGCTTCTCCCAGCCAACTCCTGTCCCCTCCATCCTTCTTCTCTCTTAGTCCCCTCTCGGTCCCTCCAACCCCAGCTGGGGCAGAGATGAGAGCCACCTAGGGCTGGCCGCCTTGCTAGCCCTCAGCATCCGGCTACTGTGCTGGTCGGGGAGGCTCCAGGCCCACCCTGGGACATTAGGCAATGGAGAAAGGTAGGGCGAGGGAAGGGGAGAGCAGGAGGCCGGCTTGTCTCAGGGGAGGATGTTTCCTGGCTCCAGGGTCAGCATCTCCGATCTCTGCTATCTCCCCCACAATCTTGTCCCATCCAGGCCAGCATCCTTTGAAAAAACAAAATCGTGAAAAGTGGTCCAGCTAGCAGATTTGGGAACTGGAGGACTGACGGCTTTAAATCAAGAGCCCCCCTGGAAAATCTACAACTTGGAGTTGCCTTCTGGCTGCCTCTTCTCCATGCACCTTCTCTTCTAGAAAGAGGGCTCCCTTTCTCACACACTCATGTCATGCACACTGGGAAGATGCACAAAACACAGCCTGCACAGCCCAGAGTTCCAAGGAGCAGTTACTGGGTCAGAGAGTGACCCCCAAGTGCTTCCACAGACTGGAGGTCTGAGAGAGCTGCTTACTGGCCCAGAAATGCCAGACTCGCATCTCATTGGGGAAGGCGGGGTGGTCTTAGTCTTTATTAAAACCTGGCTCTAGGAAATACCAGCACACACCACACGGTTCAGAAGAGATGCAACCCTGAGCCTATTTCAGGAAACTTTTCCAAAGTGACAGGAAAGCCAGACCTGGCTTGGAGGGAACTAAAGGATGAAAGAGTCTTGTCTTAAAGAGACTTGTCTGTCTTAGAGGTAGGCAAGTTCAAGGGAACAGGGCTGGGAGTAGGCAAGGCAACTGAAGTGGCCCAGATTTAAGGGGCCTCTCACTCTTGGGGTGGTGCAAGTGCAGGGTCGGCATTTGAGAGCCAGTGCCTCCTTAAATTTGGGGCCCTAGGTGCCTCACTCCAGTTCTGGCCCTGATGTGGAGTGCCCCTGGGTACAGATGATCAAAACTAGCTATAGCAGCCAGAGGGCCTAGGACTTCAAATTCCAAACTTGAAGCTCCAGGACTCCGCTCTCCCAGCTCCAATCTCAGCTGATAATATATCAGCCACCATTACAGAGCATTGTGTATGTGGTAAACACTTACGCACATTAGCTCACTTAAACGTGAACATCTTGGGAGGTAGGTACTATTAATACCCCTGTTTTGCAGATAAGGAAACTAAGGCTTTGAGAGGTTAAGAGACTTGTCTAACCTCACACAGCTAGTAGGTGGCAAATGGGATTAAACCCAGAGTTCAGTGCCCTGGCACCAAGACTAGGAACACCGTAGCTTAAAGCCGAAACTGTAGAAATAATTTACTCTGGAGGCCTTCCAGCTCTCACGACTTCAGCTGCAAAGTTGATGCCTAGCCGCTCTGCTGACCTCCAGGTCAGCATGTCCAAGTGTGCACTGGGCATGACGCTCAACCTCGTGCACCCCCGACCCCATCCTCCTCCCCGTCCTGCATTTCAAATCTCAGCCAGTGGACCCCTTGCCCCTCACCACCCAGATCAGAAATATGGACACCATCTTGGTCTCCTACCTCCTCCATCACTCCCCACGTCCAAGCGATCTGCAAGTGCTGTCAATTCCACATGAATCCAAATCCGTCCTTCCTTCAGTTCTCTTGGCCTCATTAGCCCACGTCATTCATTGAGCACTTCTGTGCCAGGCCCTTTGCCAGTGCTCAGGGGAGACAGAGGTGAAGAGACTCACAATCTGGTGGAGAGATGGACACACAAACAACTCGGGGAGAGGTAGGCAGAGGGGGCTGTAGAAGCAGAGAGGAAGGAGAAGATGACACTCGGAGATCTAGAGACAGCCCCTCCCCCCGCCCCGCCACACTCACGACAGTGAAGAGTCAGCCTGGCTTATACACAAACAGACCTGACCTCAGTACCCTCTCCACCTTGCATCCTACTGCCTGACACAGGCCTTAGGAGCATAAGATGGTACAGTCGCAATGAACAGCTCACCAAAGAGGAAGGCAAGAGAAGCAGCGGCAGCAGCAGGGAACCTGGCTCCAAGAGCCGAGTGACCTGGGCTGCCGATTGCTCATTTGAGCCGCAGTTTCCTCACCTGCCAAAGAGGAACAATAATGGACACTCTCAGCATTGTTATGAGGTTCAAATGAGATTGTGTATGAAAGGGCCTGGCCCACGTTGGCAACTGGTGATAGGAGATTTCCTTTCTACTACTCACCTGGCACGTCTGGTATTAAACCAGGAAGGGAAGGAGAGAGGCAGAGCCAGAGAAGTGATTTCAGAGCCTGCATATTTTCAACCAGGTGCAGCAGAACCCTGCAGCTAGACTCAGGCACAGAACCAGAGCCACCATCTTTCTCACCTTCCCTTAGGGCTGAAGCTCCCCTCCAGATGCCTCTCCCACAGCCTCCTGGGGTAGGGGGCGGGTTGTGGAGAATGGCTCTTATTACCTCCCCTGGCAGACTGCAATTTTCTTATACTTTCAATTTTCCAGTCCATGTGTAGAGACTGGGACATAGTATATGTTCAATAAATGATACTGAATGTGTGGTTGGCTGTGCTACTCTTGGGAAGGGTGGGGGCAGGGAGCTGGGCCAAAGGGGTGAGAACCCAGACTTTTCCAGTTCTCTGTGTCTGCCTGGCCCCCTCCATTGGGCCTGCTTCCCGGAGCCAAGCAGGCCGGTGTCAGGGAGTGGCCCAAGGGCTAATCCTTGTTTTCAGCGTGGCTGGGCCCTCTTTTCACAGGCCCTGGGCCGGACGGGATGCGGCTGAGCATCCGGGCATAAGATGGCCAGTGAAGGCGGCCCCTTTCTCATGGGCCTGGATTCCAGGCGGCCCAGCGTCTGAGTGGAGCCCCTGGGGCGGGAGGAACACAGTGGCTGGGCTGGGCAGGCCTTTGTCTGACCACGTTGGGTGGATATTCAGGCTGGCAGGAGGGATTAATGGCCAGGGATTGGCCCTGGGGCCGGCCTTCCCACTGCCCTTTGGAGGCCAAAGGCCCAGGTCAGGGCACACAGTGTTGATGGCTCCCTAGATAGGAGTGGAAATTCCCACCCTGTCCAAAGCTGTTAGCATCAGCCCCCAAGGCTCCCTGCCCCCAGCCCCACCTCCACAGAGGCACCATGAGCCAAGATGGGCTTCGAGGCAAGGAGCAGAGAGGGTGGGGGCTGAGCCTCCCAGCCACTCCGCCTGGGAGAGAGGGCTGAGGCTGACAGTCATTTCAGGTCCTTGGCCCAAGTTTCACAGCCACTGTAGGAGGACCCCCTGACTGCCCCTCCAGAGCTCTGGAGAGAAAGAACTGTGTTAACCCAATGAGGGTTCAAGGGACCAGCCTGAGCTGTCACCAGACCCCATAAGGCTTCCTAGAAAGTTTCTCAAATACCCCTAGTTTGAGACCACTCTAGAGCCATTTATTTCTAAAGCAGTCCATCATAGCAGCCACAGAACCCATAGCCCAGGAACTCAAGGAACTCTCAGAGACACCCTCACCTCAACCCCTGCCACCCAGGGATCCCAAGGGCTGCTGCAGGACCTCCTCTCTCTTCCAAGACCAGAGCTGTCCAAGATGGTGCTCCTTCCTCAGAAGCCTGGGGCAGGGACTTTCCTGGTGGTCCAGTGGTTAAGAACCTGCCTTTCAATGCATGGGACGCAGGGTCGACCCCTCGTCGGGGAACTAAGACCCACATGCTGTGGGGCAGCTAAGCCCATGCGCTCTAGAGCCCGCGTGCTGTAACTACTGAGTCCGCGCACCACAACTGGAGAGAAGCCCGCGTGCCCCAACGAAGAGCCCTTGCACCACAACGAAAGATCCTGTGAGCAGCAACTAAGACCTGATGCAGCTAAAGAAATAAATAAATATTAAATTTAAAAAAAAAAGAGGAGGAAGCCTGGGGCAGACAGTTGCAGCCTGGTGAGGGGGCATATTGGGTGCCCATTTTGGTGTGGCCTTTTCTAACCAGGCTTCTCCTGAACTAGGGATGAAAGCAGCAGCCCCAGCCTTACCCGCAGAGCCTGACCCCTGCAGTGCTCTCTGGGCTGAGGGGCCTGCGCCAGCCTCGGGAAAGAGAACAAGGGCAGGCCTGACTCTGGAGACAGCATCAGAGAAGAACCCAGGAGGAGGATGCTCCTCTTGGTGCCTCTTCATACCTCAAGCAATTCCATTCAGCAAATCCCGAGGATCTGTGTCCAGGCTGCCCTGGGTCCTGAGTCAGTGATGAATCAGACTGTCCTCTCCCTTCACTGTGTGGTCGGTGTGTGATGCGGGCAGAGAAGGGACTGCAGGGACACAGAAAAGGGAGCCCACCCAGGCTGGCAAAGCCAGAAGGCTTCCTGGAGGGGGTAGAACTCCAGTTGCAGGGGTGGGGAGGCGAGCAGGCCCAAGCTGGATGAAGGCTCATTCTCTGTGCCCCATCTCATCTCATCACTGCACTTACCTTACTGACTCTCCGTGTGTCTGTCTCCCACACTAGACTCTGTATACCTTGAGGGAAGGTACCACGTCTCACTCATATTTGGATCCCTAGCACTTAGTATAGTGCCTGGCACAAGCTGATGGCGGATAAATGTGAATCAGATGGCTGGAAGGACGGCTGGCTACCAGGACAAGAAAACCTCAGGTGCAAAGGTCTAAAGGCAAGGGGATATAGTCCATTCTGGGAAGCGCAAGACTTTCAGTATTTTTCTACTAAAAATTAGATGAGCTAATATGTGTAAAGTTCTTAGGACACTGCCTGGAACATATCAATACTGTGTGGAGCTCTTGTAGCTGTTGTTTTTCTTGTTACTATTATAGTTCACTGTGGCTAGCGTAGAGTGTCAGGGGACTGAGACAAAGAAGGCAGATGGAATCAGATTGTAGATGACTTATTTGCCGGGCTAAGGAGATTACTTCTTTCTAGAGACAACAGGAAGCCTTTGAAAATTTTTCAGCAGGGGAGTGACAAGATCAGATTCCTTGTTTAGATCAGTGTGACAGCAGAGAGACTGGAGAGTAAAGAGGCTGGAGGCTAAGAGACCAGATGGGAGGCTGAGCATACGATGCCATGTGAACCAAGGCTCTGCTTCTGTGAAAGCATCAGACCCTTCACACCCATTCACTTCAGACCAGGGCAGAGAGAGGGCCTCCAGCTTCCATCTCAGATGGTACCTTAAACCTCAACTTTGTCACACATCCAGGAACTGGCCATCACCCTCTACTCCTTTCTCTCCCTCTCTGACCACCTCCACTCACCAAGACCTGTTGGTTCTCAGCAGTTTCTCTCAGTTGTTGTCTCTTCTCTCGTCCCTCTGTCTCAGTTCTTGTTCAGGCCCGTGTCAGTTCTCACACTGCCGACTGCGGTAGCCTCCTGGCTGGGACCCCACCTCCCACTCCGGTTCCTTCTCTCCTCAGCAGCTGGAGCAATGCCTCATCGGTTAAACACGTGCAGCGGCTCCCCATCAGCTCAGAAGTCAGCTGAATCCTTAACACGGCTGGCAGGGGCCGCACGACCTGACCCACCCGAGGCCCCACCGCCTCCTTTCTCCCCCGTCCCCCTGCACCCTGTTTCCCCCTCAGCACACACACGTTCTCTCCAGAGCCATTTTCAGCAAAGTGCGAGGTCCTCTCCCACTCGGAGCCTTTGCTAATTGAGGTGAGCACACCCGCTTTGCCAGCTTTGGATACAAAGGCAGTCTCATTTACTTTTCCAGCCAGCCCCTCGATCTCCTAAGACTTTAATTAACGGGAAGGCCCATCTTTCCCTCTGAAGGATTCCACCTAACCTGCCTGATGGACTCCTCCTTGTCCTTTGAGAACCACTCACAGAAGATAATCATTTTATCTTCCGGAAAACATTTCCCCATTTCTCCTTCGGCAGGCAAACGGCCCACCCACGCCCCTGGCCTGACTGAGCCTTAAGCACGTGCTCTGCGTTTGCTTTCCTCTGTGCCCAGTTCATCCCTGGACCCTGTGCCAGGCTGCAGAGCTGCACAGCTCAGTAAGCATTGTTGAGTGACTGACTGACTACCTTGCTGAATGAATGAATGAACGAACGAACGAACAAATGACCACAAGTGTCTGGAAAGGGAAAAGATCCCTGTGCCTGATTTCCAGCTAGGAATCTGCCTCCTGCCCTTGCTGCCTCTCTGCTCAGCTCCGTGGCCCTGGGCTGAGACCCCCAATGCAGTCCTTGCCTCTGCAAGGTCCAGACTCTGTTCGGGCTCAGACGCAGACAATGTTGGTGCAGCCCTGAGCGTGTAATTCCAGCTGCTCCTAAACCACACACCTGGCATCTGAAGCATGTTCCATGTCATTTGGGACTGTCAGCGTTCTGCCATCCACCTCACCTGTACCCTAGGCAATCTCAGGGCTCTCGGGCCTCCCTGCTTCTCATTTCCAGGGTAGCTGAGAGAGAGCGGTGCTGTCAGCCAGGCCGGCTGAGCCAAGGGAGTCGGGCTGGAGAAGAGTGAGTTAGAATCCACCACTCATTCTCTGTGTGATCCTGAGCAAGTCGCACAGCTCGCGTGGTCCATGTTAGACACATAAACCCAGGGCCTGGAGAACTCTGAGAGGACCTGAGACACTGATTCCCAACTGACAGGCCCTTTAGCTAAAGCACGTCATCTGGAAACCACGTGGCACCCTGTGTTGTCTGTAAAGAGGACGCACGATGTATCTCACACACAGGTATGAATGCTTTGCAAATGGTTGTCGAAGCTGCTGTGACTGAGAAATACCCACAGTGAAAAGCTTTGTGGTCATTTTAATTTTTCATCTGTTGGTGGATATTAGAAGCACAAGCACTATCATATGGAGTAGCTGAGAGGTATTTTTTTAATCCCCATTCTTTTTTTTTTTTAAGCTTTTTTTGATGTGGACTATTTTTAAAGTCTTTTTTTTTTTTTTTTTGCTGCACTGGTTCTTTGTTGCTGCACGAGGACTTTTCTCCAGCTGCGGCGAGCAGGGACTGCTCTTCGGTGCAGTGCGCGGGCTTCTCGTTGCAGTGGCTTCTCTTGTTGCGGAGCACGGGCTCTAGGCGCACCAGCTTCAGTACTTGTGGCGCACGGGCTTAGTTGCTCCTCAGCATCTGGGATCTTCTGGGACCAGGGCTCGAACCCGTGTCCCCTGCATTGGCAGGCGGATTCTTAACCACTGTGCCACTAGGGAAGTCCCTTAATCCCCATTCTTAAACTACCACTTTAGTCCAATATACCTTCTTCACAGTTTTGGATATTGAGGTCCAGGAAGGGGAGAGACTTGCCTAAAGTCTCAAAGCAAGTCAGTGCAAAGCCAGAAATGGAGGCTAGGACTCTGTCCCCCAACTCCTCCTTCTCTGCACTTATTCAACGGTATTTACTAGTACCTGCCTGTGGCTGACTCTATGCTGGGCACCAGGGAGCCATTGATGGAGAACCACAGTCCTATCCTGAGGGGCTGACATTATCTGTCAGGGAGAGAAGACACTGAACAAAGACTTTATCCTAACTCCTCAGAGAAGCCATGGGAGGACTGGAATCAGGAAGTGATATGATAAGATTGCTGTTGTCTAGTAATCACTGCATTTGCAATGTGGATGATAGACCAGAAGGGTTTTATCATTTAGGATGTTTTGGGCTTCAAGTACAGAAAATCTCAGCTCAAAGTGATTTAGGCTGTAGGGAAATATGTTTTCTCCCTAACAAGAAGGTCAGAGGCAGGATACAGTTAGGGCTCTGGCTCCCCTTTTCTGTGATTCTCTTGGCTCTGTGGTCCCTCATGGGTTGGCTTCATCTTCAGGCTGGCAACAGATAATTACAGCACCCAGAACTACAACACTGAGTTCCAGGTATCCAGAAGAAGAGAGGTTGTCTCCTTCTCTGCCTATTTCTTAGGAGAAAAAAGCTCCCCTCGCCCTCCCCCAATGTCTCCTCAGCTCTCATTGGCCAGAGTTGGATCACTTCCCCACTCCTAAACCAATCACTGGCAAGGAGGAATGAATTACAGTTTTGTCTAGGACAAATCAGAACCTACCTACTCCCAGGAATGGGTCACTTTCATATGAAGTGGGTCGCTGTGTGTTAGAGAGTGGATACTGAAACAAAACAGGTTCCCTTAAGAAGGAGGAAGGGACAAAGTCTGCGATAAAGAGAGAAGCGAGGAGTCTGGAAGCCCAGCCTGGAGTCCACTGAACAGGGCAGCTTCTATAGAGCACTCGCCTCTCTGCCTCGGGTGTCTGCCTCCCTACGTGGCTCTCAGCTCCTTGAAGGCAAGGCCTGGGACCCAACCTCTTGTGGATCCAGGCACTGGAGTCACCAGAGAGGAAGAGGAGTGGTTAGAAAAGCCAGCGTATTCCCACAGTAGCAGGCACAGGCTAACATTGAGAAGTGCCCCCGAGCAGGGGCCAGAGAAGAATACCCTGTGAAGGATCACCTGGCTGGGTGAGCTGGGGCAATCATCTTGACCTCCCTGAGCCTCAGTTTTACCTTTAGAGACCTGGGAGAGGATGTTCTCGCTCTCTAGCCACATTCACATCCCACAGAGTCTTCCTTCTCTATCACCTTGGATGAGCCTCAGGGTGGGGGATGAATGGGGAGGGGTTAAGAAGAGGGAGAAGTGGGAGACGGGCAGGTAGAGAGACTAGAACTGGAGTGCTGGAGCTGGCTCCGACCAGCTGGTGAGAGTAGCGCATCTCCTCCCAGCCCTGCTTTCAGTGACATGTTGGTAGTTTGAAATCAGTCACGGTGGGAGGTTTTACACCAGAAATTGACAAATGCTACAAATCAGAAGCTACTCCTCTCTACTCCGTGCCCCTCCCCCCCATCCAGCTGTTAAACATTCACCAGCCCACCACTTGGCAAAGCACCAGTGATTAAAATAATAAAGCTCAGACAAGACCGAGGCTCTCCTTTGTGGCAGTCAGAAGGCTCCAGGGAGGGAGGCCCTAGAGGGCAGGGCCCCAGGGGAGGGGGAGGAGCAGGCATTGACCTGTCCTCGCTCTGGGACCCCTTAGCTCACACTCCTGGAACCCTGTGTCTGTGTCCAGCACTAGGCCAGAGCCTTGCAGAACATCCCTAACACAGCAGCTCTGTGAGCCAGACCTGACCGCTCCCCGCCCCCCTCCATTTTATTCTGAGTTCTAATACTTAGTTCATATTATTTGATTCAGTAATTCCCCTGCTAGGAATTCACCTTGAGGGATGTGCTCAACGATGCATGTTCATTCAGGGGTGGTCATCACTGTGTTATTTATAATAGGGGAAAAATTGAACCTAATGCCCTGCAGTAGGTTTGCTCTGTTCCTTGAAACGTTGGGCAAACGTTGAAAGTAGAACATTTTTGAGGACTTTTTAATGACATGAGGAAATATTTTTGATATAATGTTAGATAAAAAAAACAGCATACAAAAGTCACACAGTAGGGCTTCCCTGGTGGCGCAGTGGTTGAGAGTCCGCCTGCCGATGCAGGGGACACGGGTTCGTGCCCCAGTCCGGGAAGATCCCACATGCCGCGGAGCGGCTGGGCCCGTGAGCTATGGCCGCTGAGCCTGCGCGTTCGGAGCCTGTGCTCCGCAACCAGAGAGGCCGCAACAGTGAGAGGCCGGTGTACCGCAAAAAAAAACCCCCAAAACAGTCACACAGTATGGTATCAATGTTTATGTATGTATACATACATAGAAAAAGAATGGGAAGAAAGTACACCACAATATCAACAGTTTTATCTCTAGGTGATAGATTGGGGTTATTTTTCTTTTTTTTTTTAGGAATTAAAACTATAAACATTATTCACCAAATTTTGCTCTTGAGATATATGCACTTTGCTGTGTTTATATGTGCTAATACCTCATTTAAAAGTTTTTAAAATTTATACATTTGATACACCAGAAACCAATAGCAGTTGCCAAGGTAGAAGAAAAATGGTGTGGTTATAAAACAGGAGTGAGAGGAAGACATTACCAGGGATTGAACCCGGGCCCTCAGCAGTGAAAGCGCAGAGTCCTAACCACTGGACTGCCGGGGAATTCCTCCATTTGCATCTCTTGAATTGAAATCATATGAGTGTATCACAAAGACGGGTAGATTACATATTTAAAAAATAGATAATAAGCATGCATGAGTTCTTTAACAAGAGAAAAAAATGTTAATTTCCAAAACCATCCCCAGTTTACAGATGAGGGTATGGAGGTTCACAGAGGTGGGGCAACTGCCTAGAGTCACCCAGCCAGGAGATAGTTCCAAGCCCAGGGCTCGTCCAGTGGCAGCCATCGCTGAGTGTGTTTGGGGCTTCAAGTTTGCAAATTACTGCTTCCCTATAGACTCATTACTCATTACAGATGCAGAAGCTGAAAATACTCCAGTTTAGAGCTCACCTCCCTCACCCCAGCGTCATCTAGAGTGCTGGCTCCCAGCTTCGCGCCTGGCACCCTTCTTCCCCCACCACACCAGGCAGGCAGGAAGGCACAGCCTCCACAGCAGTCTGTAAGGCAGAGATCCCCTAGGCTGCCCCTATGAGGCCCAGGAGGGCAATCACTTTCCCCACCCCAGCCCACCCCAGCCCACCATATGTCTCCCTAAGGACTAGAATCCAAGGAAAATTCCGGAACCTCAGGCAGGAAGAAGGAAGGGCTCTCCCAGAGACAAGAAGCAGCATCTGGAACAGTTTCTGCTTTGGAGCAGGCGTGCAGTCATTAGGAGGGCTTTGGCATGTTTGGGGGCAATAACTGCATATTTTCTCCAGGGTGCATCATTAACCGCTTTTGCTCAGAATGTAATGAGTGTGTTTCCTATGAGGTGGGGATGTTTACACTCCTCCCAGGCCTTCCTGGGCTGCTCTTCTGTCATCTGCTTGGCCTTAGGCTCCAGGCCTTCCTATTTTTAGATGGATCCAACAGCCTTAGGACCAGCCGCTGAATGCAACTGTGAGCGTGGATTTCGTGATGGGACCAAGGACCAATGGGGCAGCCTACTAGGGGAAGTATCATTCATTCCAGGGCTTTACTGTGGTCAGAGGTCACTTCTTTTCATCCCTGTTTAAAGACTCCACCCTGGGGATTTTCCAAGCTTTAAAAAATGGAGTTTTTTCTTATTTTCCCAGAAGTTACATGGGTGGAAAATACAAAGAAGGTCATCTCCTGTGTCCCCTCCCCTCCGGCCCCAGGCAGCTACTTTCTCTCATTCTCTTTTGGGCCCTTACAAAGGCAGGTTCTTCTGCCTGGAATACTCTTCCTCCTCTCTCCACGCCCACCCCCGTCTGAAAAACTCAGCTCCTGCCCACCTCCTCCAGGAAGACTTACAAATGAGGATATGTCTCCTTCTCTGACATCCCCACAGTTTTTGTGCTTCCCTCTGTCACAGCCATTACCACACTCAGTCCTGAATGGTTGCTTAACTCCCTCCCCTGCCTAACTCTGAGTCTTGAGAACCGGGGATGGGAATTATTCCTTTACCAAGAGTCTCAGTGTCCACTATAGGGCCAGAGACAGAACAGATGCACAAGGGATGCTGACTAATTGATGGAAAGAATAAATTAATGAACATAGTAATAGAGCATCAGAGATAAAGGGGGAAGGATGCAGCCCCATTATTTTATAGAGAAGGATACTAAGGCTTAGAAAGGGAAGGGAGAAGGTATTATCAGGAGCCGTTGGTTCATGGCAAGGATGTAACTGGATTTAGTGAGGTCTGGAACCAAGTACTCAAACATCCTCTTCATGTCAGCATCACTTTTCCAGACCACTTTCTCCACAAGGTTGGGGACCTGGCTGTTGGCAAGCTTCCTGCTCTCACAGTTCTGCAAACAGAGACAAAAGGGCAGCAGTTGGAAAAAAGCCCCCGAGAAGCACTTTGAATGATCCAATTTGGGACCCATGCTCACTCCTTGCAAATCACTATCAGAGGATGGCAGCCCCCAACTAAAGGAGGAGCAATTCTCCCAAACACATGAGGGCATCACAGCCATGACCCTTGGGGGAAATCACTGTGAGCAGGGCAGCCACCCCAATTTAAATCTACGAGAGTCACTAGCATTTCTTGAGCATTTCTGTACCCCACGCTTGTTAGATATGTTCATGCTCACTCTTACAGTAACTCTGTGAGGTAGATATCATTATCCCATTTCATAAATGAGAAAACTGAGATTCAAAAAGGGTAATTGGCCCAAAGTCCAAGAGAGTTAGGGAGCCCGATAGAACACTTAGACCCACCATCCTCTGTGTACAAATGAAGAAACTGCAACCTCAAGAGGAGGGTAGGGACTTGCCTGAAGTCGCAGAGTAGGTCAGTAGGATAGTCTGGAACTGAAATTCATGAGCACATAGTCACATTACATTATCAGATATGTAACAGGCACCTTTGGAGTATCTGCTCTGCTCATGACAATTCCTTTCTCTTAGAACAGACCACTCACCAACACCCAGGACTGTGAGGAATGACTCCCAGAGGGGTAGCCTGGCAGCCGTGTTAGCACCATGTGACCCCATTCCCCTCCCAAAGCTGATTGGGCCAGAGTGGGACACCTGCTCCAATTGGTCCAATCACCCTCTCTTGAAAATGTGGAGATTCTTTCCACATGGCTGGATATGATGGGTGCTGTGAACTGTCATGTTTTCCCCCATCTGATCAGAAGGGCAGAGAAGGCCAGTCTGGGAAAAGAAAAGAGCAAAGAGGCAGAGATAGAGGTGGGGAGAACCATCCCCCTGGGGTCTTGAGCTAGGTCAAGTCCTTTCCTGCCTTAGGTCACTTGAGACTCTCAGTCCCTTGTAATCAATCTCCCTTTCTTTGTTTAAACAGATTCTAGTGGATTTCTTTTTTTTTTAATTAATTTTTATTGGAGTGTAGTTGATTTACAATGTTGTGTTAGTTTCTGCTGTACAGCAAAGTGAATCAGTTATACAATGCATATATTAAACAGACTCTAGTGAATTTCTTGTTGTGAAAGTAGCATCATTCTACAGCACGTGACAAAGCACCTTTACTGAAAAGGGGTCATTGAGTGAACCACATGGTTACTTCAGGCATTTCAGGTGATCTGATGAGGAGGCCAGAGTGAGCTGGAGTGGTTAGGAGGGCTTCCCTGGAGGAAGCAGGACTCCTCTGTCCTTGAAGGATGAGATGCATGCAAGCAGGGAGAGAAGAGGCAGGAGCACCTCCAGGGGACACTTGAGATGATGCAAGAGAGGCTAATTTGAAGGAGTCGAATGTAGGGCCAAGCAAGGCAGTGAAGTAGCAAACAAGAAAGACAGTGGTCTTCTGGTCCCCTAGGAGCCATCCAAAGCCATCCGAGGTGTCCGGCGGATGCAGGGAAGGATTGGGAGGCATTAGCCCCTGGGAGGGTTCCTCAGGGCTGGTTACAAACCGAATCGCTGTGGTGAAAGCAATTACATCCCACCTGTGCTCTAGGCTGACATCAGGCATTTTGCCATTTCCTGCCGGCCCCTCACTCTCCCGCCTCTGTGACTTTGCGCAGTTCTACCAACCTAGGAGCCCTTCCATCCAATCTCAGCCCAGCTTAAAGGCTACCTTATCCCAAAGCCTTTCCTGTCACCACCCTCAACCCCCAAAGTGTAATCCAGGTTTTCTTTCTGCAGGTTCCCTCTTGGATCCTCTACTGTGTAGTTTATATAGTAATTATCTGTGCAAGTGTCTGTTGTCCCCAATAGAATGTGATCCCTGAGGCCAAGACTCAGATCTGATTCACTGCTTCTCCGTTGCTTAACACTGGAGCCGGCCAACAGTACGGGAGAGTTTGCCACACGCCTGAGTGTAGCCACTGTCCACACTAACCATGGGAAGAAGTGATGTGTTTGCTGCCTCCTACCAACCTCCCTCCCCCACTTACCAATCAGGAGAGAGAGCAGGATGTGAGGGAGCAGGGAGTTCGTCCTCCCATGGGGGTTGGGGGGGGACCTGTGGAGCCAGGAGCTGTGTGTGGATATGCGTGTGCGTGTGTGTGCGCACGCGAACACGTGTATATGCGTGCATGGGTCTGTGCTGGGAGCTCTCTCTAGGTTGTCAGTCAAGGAGGGCTCCTCCCAGAGCCTGGCAGTTGGCAACACTAGTTGTGTCACTAGCTTTGTCAGCCATCCCCCACCCCAAGCTTCATTCTAGTCACATGGTCCCATGATGGGTCAGCAGGCATCGGCCCGGAGGCTGATGGGAGATGTAGTCAATAGCTCCAAAGCCGACCCTGTTTGGCCCGGAGCCCAGGAGGGGCTGGGGCTCAGCAGAAATCAGTCTAGTCCTCTGTCACATGCTGCCCCCAAAGGTCCTGTTCATTTCTGTTAACCTGCAGTTGACATTCAGGTTGATTAGATGCTTCCTTTCCTCATACTGCTCCCAAAGGCTTGAGGGGCCAGGGGAGAAGGCGGAGCAGCCGTTTGAAAAGAGACTGGGTGTTGAAAAAGTTCAACAAAGAAGAAAGGGGCCAGAAAGGCGCTGGCACTCACCAAGCACCTACAGGCTCCGGCTCTACCCGATATCTCATCCCTTCCTCCCGGCAGGCCTAGTTATCCCTTCTCCAGCCCACAGACAAGGAACCTAGTGCTCTGGCCCTGAGGTGGCTTGCCCCAGGGTGAGTGGCTGGGAAGAGGCAGAGGAGCGGGGACTTGAACCCAGTTCGCGGACGGCCACCCTCTCGTCACAGAGTCCCGTTGCCTTTAGAGGGTCTAGAGGTGGCACCCCAAACTTCTCCAGCACCTTTTCCTCCCGAAGCTTCGCGGCCCAAACCCTCATCACCCTACATGTCCAATCCTCTCGCAAACAGAGGATTTTTGTGCCAAATTTCTGCCAACTGGCCTGTCTGGCCTGTGGTCAGATCACCCTCATTCCACCTGCCGCGTTCCCACCAGCGTTTACCGCAGTTGAGTCACTTAGTCCTACAGAAGGAGTTGGAAGGAATCCTTTCAGTGTGCAGATAAGGAACCTGAGGCACAGAATGGGGAACTAACCCACTAATACCACACCACTAGCAAGCTCTAGAGCCAGGTTCTGCCTCCCAGCGGGGGACTCCAGGCAGTACACCATGCTTCCTACCTAAAGAAGGAGTTTTCAATAAACTTGTTCCCACTGAGGCAGCTTCGCTTCTGGAAGGAGCAGTGAAGGTTCCGTCTTCAGCATGGGGTCATTTTCCCACCTGATTGTTCTTCCCCCTAGAACCACCACCACATCAACAAAATATAGCCGACGCTGTTGGTTGACCAAACGACAGTGATTCCCAGCCTCCTATTCCTTTGCACCCAGCCTGTCTAGTGGTTAGGAGAGGCTGTGTGACCCAGTTCTGGCCAATGAGAATATGGGGGATTCTGCTGGGTGACTTCTGGGTAAGATATTCCTCCCCCTTAACGTCACTCAAGCAGAAAGACTTTGGTCTGTACTTACTTCCTTACTTCTGTTTTTAGATGTGGTTGTTTGTAATGATGCTCATAGTTGAGGAGGCCATCTTGTAACTTGAGGCTACAGGCGAGAGGAAGAAAGCCAACTGTTCCAGTCATCTTTTCCTATGTAACAAATTACCTCCCCAAATTCAGTACCTTAAAACAACAATTAAGTATTATCTTTCACCATTCTGTAGGTTGCCTGGGCTCAACTAGATGGTTCTCACTTGAGGTCTCTTGTGAGGTTACAATCTGGTGGAGGCTGGGGCAGGAGTCATCTGAAAGCTCACCTGGTCTGGATGTCCTAGACGGCTCACTCACATAGCTGACGGTTGATGCTGGATGTCCAGTGAGAGCTCAGCCAGGGCTCTTGACCAGGACACCTGCACATGGCCCCTTCATGTGGCTTGGGTGACCCCAGCATGGCTGCTGGTTTCCTAGGGCAAGTGTTTCAAACAGCAAGCATTTTAAGAGGCCCAGACAGATGCTGCAAGACTTATGACCTAACCCTGAAAGTTCAAAATGTCATTTCTACCACATTATATTGGTTAAGCTAGTCACTATGGCCAGCCCAGATTCAAGGGGAAGAGAATTAGATTCTACCTTTTTTTTAAAAATTTTATTAAAGTATAGTTGATTGGCAATGTTGTGCTAATTTCTGCTGTACAGCAAAGTGACGCAGTTATATATATATACATTCTCTTTCATATTCTTTTCCATTATGGTTTATCACAGGATATGAATATAGCTCCCTGTGCTATACAGTAGAACCTTGTTTATCCATCCTATACACGCTAGTTTGCATCTGCTAATCCCAAACTCCCAATCCTTCCCTCCCCCACTCCCCCTTCCCTTTGGCAACCACAAGTCTGTTCTCTGTCTGTTTCTGTTTTGTAGATATGTTCATTTGTGTCATAGTTTAGATTCCACATATAAATGATATCATATGGCATTTGTCTTTCTCTGCTTGACTTACTTCGCTTAGTACGATAATCTCTAGGTCCATCCATGTTGCTGCAAATGGCATTATTTCACTCTTCTTTGGCTGAGTAATACTACATTGTATATATATATATATACCACATTTTCTTTATCCATGACTCCACCTCTTAATGAAGGCATGGCAAGGTCACATTGCAGAAGAGCAAGTGGCATGGGAGATATTGCTGCCTCCATCTTTGGAAAATGTAATCTACCATACCTGCACCCTGAGGACGATGATGTGGAAGATGGAAAGGGTCATGGTCCTTGTTACCTATGAGCCACCACACAGTCTCTGGACTTAAGTAAGCAAATAATGTTCTAAAGGCTTAAGCCAGAGTGAGTTGGATTTTCTGTTAAAGTCCAGGCCCGGGGGCAGGGGTTGTAGTGCAGAGAAGCAGCAGCCGATCTCCAGCCACAGTTGGGCCGTCTCAGTCCTCTGGTGGAGTCACATTTGTACTATTATCACCAGTGAGTAACATGGGAGCATTTTAGGGCCTTGAGGCATAGAAGACCCGCACTCACACTTGAGGTAGAACTTCCCTAAACTAAGCCCTAGAACTGAGATCCCACCATTCACTCTTCATTTGTTAGGTCTGAACCAATGGGGACTGTGTTCTCTGAAGTTCTCACCCTCTGCCAGGCACCCTCAGAGTAAAGGAGTTTACGGTCCTTTCCTGAGGAGGAGAGAGCCTTGATAGGTGAGGAAGAGGTGCCTGGGGCCAGGAGAGGAGAGAGTGTGCACAGGAGACACACTTGGAGGACCTCACAACTGGGCCAGTGCTGTAATTAGAGGGATAATAAGGAAGAGCTTGGGCTGACATGTCCTTGAGGATGATAAAATGACTCTTGTTTTATGCCCCTTTTGCTTGAGAGACTTCTATTGATAAAATGACTATTAAGGAATACAAAGGATGCAAACCACAACAATAAAGATAATGGGTGAGGTAACCTCAGTAGACAAGCTGTTACAACAGAACAATAGAAAGCAGGTGGAGGAGTGGTAACCGATGCAGGAGGGCAGAGAAAGTCTTAGGACAGAGTGTGCGGAGAGGAAGATACAGCCAAGGAAGAAGGCAGCCTGTCTTGACAGAACCAGCAAGACACAGAGCTTAAAACAGGGGATTAATTAAAAATCGACATTGGACAGTCTCTCCCCAACGCCAGGCACAGAGCACCAAGAGGTCAGGGTCTACTCTCCAGGGGGAGATCAGGGGGGGCTTCTGGAGCAATCTACTGTCCCCAGATGAAAGACCTTCATGTTCTGGTATCGGGGTGGGAGTAGGGGAAGCAAGTCCTCTACTATAGACTGACTGACTGCCCAGTCAACCTGAGGCATGCACACTAGTTAATCAGCAAGCTCTTTGGTTCCTCATTTGTAAATATGAATGGACATCCAAGGATTGCCAAACATCTGAGGAAAGCCACCAAACTGAAAGAGTAAGACAAACAAATAAAATGACCCCAAAGGAAATGGAAATAATGCAAGGACCAGAAAAGAACTTAAAAAAAAAATGAAAAAAGTCTTACACTCAATAGAATCCTTATAGAGATTCAAGGAGACAGTGTATCCATAAAATAAAAACTAGATGGTATGAAGAAAAAAGAAACCACCAGAGAACAAGAGAGAGCTCTTGAAAATTTAAATATATATTTCAAATTTTAGTAGGTTTCAATGTTTTCAAGTTAAGGAAATTTCTCAGAGAGTGAAATAAAAAGATAAGAAGGTCGAAAATATGAGACATAAAGGATCAATACACGAAGTTAAAAATCTAAATGGGAATTCTAGCAAAAACAGATAAAAATGGAGAAATTTATATTTAAAAGTTACCTAAGAAAATTTCCCTTGAACAAAGTTCACAAAGTCTCCATATTAAAAGAGCTCAATATGTGCACCCAAAAATGAATGAAAAAATGACCTGCCCTTGGGTACCATATCCTGACTTTTTAAATACAGGGAGATAAAGAGAAGATCTAAAAGCTTTCAGATGGGAGAAAGATAAAAATAAAGAAAAAAAGGTCATAAAGGAATGGTAATCAGAGTGACTTCAGAATTCGCAGCAGCAACACAGGATGCTATAAGTTAGTAGAGAAATGCTTCAAAGTGCTGAGGGAACATAGCCGTACGAACCATCAACTATACAGATATAGTGAAGACACAGGGAGACACGCCAGGAGTGAGAATATCTACATCCTATGCATTCTTCCTCAGGTGGTTACTCGGAGGGTGTGGGTGTGCTCTAGACAAACATGGACATAAACATGAAAGTGGGAAACATGTTTCAAAAAAGGGTGGACCCCACACAGAAAGCTGTCAAAGGAAGTTAAAGTGATGGACCAGCAGGCTTGGACACTAGCTGATCACATTACAGCATGAGAATAGAGGGACTTGGAAGGAAGTCTCTGGTGAGAGAGGAAGACTGGATAAAAGAGAGACTGGATAAATATGAGGGAGAGATAAAGGCAGTCAGGAATTTGAGGAAAAGAAAAAGTGGTGCAAGTAAGAATATGCAATCTAGGAATCCCCAGATCTGCAATGAACAATGATAACACAATTACATGAGAAACAGTTTACTAGTTTCTAAGTTTTCAGATGCATCTATAAACAAAGCATAAAAGATTCGCTTGACCAGCTGGTGACAGAAGAAGTCAGGGGTTTGAAGCATGGGGAAGATTCTGTCTGCCTTTCTTGACTGGAAAATGGAGGGGGCACATGGAAAGGATGCGAGCACAGCCTCTAGTGCCAAGAGTACCCCATGACCAACAGTCACCAAGGAAACAGGAATCTCAGTCCTACAACCACAAGGAATTGACTTCAGTCAACAGTATGGAAGCTTGGAAGTGGATTCTTTCCTGAGCCTCCAGATGATACCTTGATTTCAGCTTTGTGATACTGTGAGCAGAGAACCCAGACTTCTGACCTACAAAACTGAGGTAACAAGTGGGTGTTGTTCAAAGTCACCAAGTTTGTGATGATTTGTTAGCCAGCAATAGAAAACTAAAACACCTGGCATGCCCTTCCCCTCCCTGCTGCCCCCAAACTCGCACTTTATGTATGTCATATGAGGTGTTTTAGACTAGTGGCTAAGCTCTCAGACTGCAGATAGGCAGACACGGGTTAGAATTAGAATTTCACCTCTGAGGGTGAGCAGTCACACACACAGTAAACACTCAGTATACAGAACTATAATGATTGTTCTCATTCACTTTGAGTCTCAGTTCAGCTCTCACTCCCTCTGTAAATGTCTCCCTGACTCCCCACCTCACCCCTCTGGAAAGTTCATCACACTCTCCCCTGCACTTTGTACTTACTGTACTATTGCATGCTTCATGCTATACTGGTTAAACGCCCTCACTAGACTAATTTGTTGAAGGGCAGAGATCTTGTCTGTTCGGAGCCTGCCACAGCCCCCGTCATGAAGGAGCTCTGAGAATGTTTATGGAGAAGGAACACAGAGGAACTTTCTAGACCCAGTGAGGAGGGCTGTTCAGGAAGGGGTGATTTCTCTGTTACTAGGGTAGCTACCCGTCAGGGATGCTGAAAGGGGTTGACTTCTGCTTTGCTGTGTATTAAAGCTTGGGTTTGTTTCATAAAAGCACATAAAAAGCCGGGAGGCAGGTACTAGAGGGTGAGAGACCTCTCCGGCTGGGGTCAGTGGACGAGGCAGAGTCAGGTGTTGAGCTGGACATTAACTCATCTATTCAATTATTTTAACACACATTGTTAACTCCTGCACAGGGAGATGCTGAAGCAGACTTTGAAAAATAGGTGGGATTTTCACAGCTGCTCCTGGGAGAGAAGCTTTGGTGGAGGCTACATTATGATCAAGACCTGACAGATCCACTTCTCCAAAGAGCAGTCTGAGGACTGAGCAGGGGGCTCTGAAGTATATGTTCAGCTGGGAGGGAGGAGGGATGGAGACCTGTGCTTGTTTCAGTGGTTTGAGACAGGGACAAGGTGAGAATGAATACGGTGGGTCCTAGAAGGTTGGAGCTGGGAGCAAGGAGCCTCTCAGCTCTGTTCAGGGATCCGGAACAGGAAGACGCAAGCTTGTGGGTACAAAAACAATTGACGGGCTGACAGAACCAGCAAAAAAGTGGATGCAGTATGGATCCTGGGTGCCCCTTGGTGGCCACACCGAATAACTACACCCGATACCACCCAGGCACAGCCAGTGCCCAGCTGAGTACTTTACTTACCTCTGGACTGGGAAGACCCACTCACCCACCTAGGAGGACCACTTGTTGCACTGGTGTCTGGGGTTGTGTGTCTGTGTGCTTTTGTGTCTGCGCGCTTGTGCTGCCCAACTGTGTAGGGGTATACATGTACATGAGTGCATGCATGTGCATTTGTCTTCGTGTGTATGTGCACTGGTGCCTGTGACTGGGCACATGTGTTCGAGTTGTACGTCCACGTATGTACTAGGTGCTAGTACCCAAGCACGCATTTGTGTGCACTGGTACCAGGATGTGAATCTGTATATTTGTATGTATGTGTATCTGTCGTCCCCTTGCTTGTGTCTGAGTGCATGTGTATTAATGCAACTTTTGGGGCCTTGGCTTTCTTTTCTGTCACACATTGAAATAGTTAAGCTCCATAATCTTATTGTTTGTTTAAAGTTTGCTCTTGGATGCAGGCCTGTTCCAGAATAACTAGCAGATGCGAAAAGCATCCATTATGTATTTTTGCAATTAGCCGAAAACCCAGAAACTTTTTCATAAATAACAGACACAGTTCTGTGGGTTGCTTATTGCTGGGAGCCGCCTCCTCTCCCCGGCTCTCCTGAGCCGGCCCTGGGCCCAGCCCCAACCAGGCCAAGCCAAGGAGGGTTTGCACACTGTCCCTAGTGAGATGGAAAAACCATTAAGAGTTCAGAATAGAACTCAAGGGACAGCTCACAGTGAGGAGGAGAAAGAGAAGAATAAAGAGGAGGGGTGAGAGCAGGAAAAGTGCAGCTTCCAAAATCTGAGAAGACTGTCACACTGGCTCATCCAGCCTAGCAGTTACCCAGCGTTCTGGTCTAGACCCAGCTAAACAGACACAGGACAAATCCACATTCTTTTACGTGTCTTTAAGGTCCATCCATTATATTTCTCCACCTTATCTTTGCATACTCCCATCTCCCATTGTTTGGAACATGGTCTCCCCTATGCCTCACGCATTCTCACTGCCATCCTTTTGCTAGTGCTGTTTCCCTCTCCTGGAATACACTTCTCCTCTTCTCCAATGCCAACCAGGCACCTCTTGACCACCAACAGCATTACCATCAGCAAACTTCTTTGAGTACCTATCTCAGGCACTGGGGAGGGGACCTGGGAAGCAGAAAGAAAAGCTTAGGGAAGCTTCTCAGTATTTGAGTTACGTGAAGGCACAGACTCTCATCACGTTCCTCAGTCTCTCCTCCCTGCTACTATGGACAGAGAGCTGTTCTGTGTCCTGGGTTTCAGGAGGGACCAGAGGATGTGGCTGGGCTGCCAGGTGGACTTCAGACTGAGACTACAACTTGAACAGGATGGTCTGTGAAAGAAAGAATCGCTGGGCTAGAAGACACTAAAGCATCCCGCTGAGTAGAGTCCTAGGCTCTGCTTCCTCCAGTGATCGGGAGCTCATCAAGTCCTCAAGCAGATCAATTCACTGTTGGTCAGCTCTGACTTTCAAAGGTCTTCCTTATGTTGCTTCTGCTGCCCTTGCTCTGCCCTCAAGCCCACACTGAACACAGCTACTCCATCTTTCTTCAGAAGTCTAGAGAAAGTGACAGTGGCCCCCTGGGCTCGCCTTACCTTTCAAGACAGTGGCAGCTACTAAGAGAGATGAAGGCAGCTCTCCTATGTCAAGCTGGTGGCCATCTGACAACTTCCTTAGTGGGGGAACACTTGTGATCTTCTTGAAGTACTTCTCCTGCCTCAACCCATGGGCTTCAGGGATGGCAGGCGAGGCAACTGCTTGAGCTGTGAGCTTCCATTAAGGTTGTTATCAATTTGTCAATTCATCATACACTGAGTACCTACACTATGCTAGGCACCGTGGAAACAAAGACCAAGAACACACAGTCCCTTGCCCGTCAAGATGCAAGGCTGGGAGTTTCCAATACTGCCTCTGGCCACTCTGTTTAGTACAGTGGTTCTCAAAGTATCAATATCAGCATCACCTGGAACTTTAAAAGAAATGCAAATTCTTGGACCATACCCCAGATCTACTGAACCAGAAACTCTGGGTGTGGGCCCAGCAATCTGGGTCTAAGAAGCCCTGCAAATGATTCTCATACACTTGAAAGTCTGAGAACCACTGGTTTAGATTCACCTGGGGAGCCTTTAAAATTAAATCAGAATTTCTGGGGTGGAGCCTGAGGCATTGGCTTTTAAAAAATGGCTTAAAAGACACTGACTAAAAGCTCAGCACACTGAATGAAATCCATTAAAAAGTACTGGTTCTGAAGCATCACAAGATATTACTTTGCCTTCCCAAATCCTTGTTAGTAATGACAGAGGTAAAAGCATATTGGTGTTAAGGAATGGGAGCTGGGTTCTAGGCCTAGTTCTGCTTCTATGTGGGTGGGTTTGCTAGTGCTGTTTCCCTCTCCTGGAATACACTTCTCCTCTTCTCCAATGTCAACCAGGCACCTCTTGACCACCAACAGCATTACCATCAGCAAACTTCTTTGAGTACCTATCCCAGGCACTGGGGAGGGGACCCAGGAAGCAGAAAGAAAGCTTAGGGAAACTTCTCAGTATTTGAGTTCTTATGTGAAGGCACAGACTCTCATCACGTTCCTCAGTCTCTCTTCCCTGCTACATCAATAGCCAATAAAATGTATTAATAATAAAACCTATTAAGAATATACTCTGTGCCAAGTCAGTAAGAGAATAAAAAAATACAGCTAAGACCTCTTAGAAACTTCTTTCCCAAAGACTCCATTGATCAAGAACTACAATGCATATTTGTTTTCTTTTTGTGTTTTGTTTTTTTTTTTGGCAGTACGTGGGCCTCTCACTGTTGTGGCCTCTCCCATTGCGGAGCACAGGCTCCGGATGCGCAGGCTCAGCGGCCATCGCTCACGGGCCCAGCCGCTCCGCGGCATGTGGGATCTTCCCGGACTGGGGCATGAACCCGTGTCCCCTGCATCTGCAGGCGGACTCTCAACCACTGCACCACCAGGGAAGCCCTACAATGCATATTTATTGAGTGACTACTATGTGCAAGTACTAGGAAACAGAGATGAACAAGACAGACAACATTTTTGCTCTCCTGGCACTTATAATCTAGCACAGATCAACAGGAAGTAAACAAAGAAACTTCACAAATTATGCATATGTGCAATAGAGAAGATAAATGTGGGTAATTGGCTAGAGACAGAGGAAGTCTGGTGGGGTATTAGAGGTCACACTTCAAAACTGGGCTTAATTACAGGTAGGCATGGACTACCAGAAAGACAGGAGGCAGACGTGGTAAGGCCCAGAGGTCTGGGCTCTGCTTCCAGACGCACAACTACTAGGTGTAAAGACTGTGGGGCAACTGACTTGGGCTCCTTGGACCTCAGCTTAATCATCCATGAAACGGGTCGGTAAGAGAATCATCGCAGCCTGCCTTGCTGGGAAAACAAAATGAGATCAGAGGTAAAAAAGTTTGCCAGCATTAAAAGCACTCTACAGAAACACAATACAGTTAAGAAACCAAAGGTTGTATACTGTTGTATTCCTCACAAACCTGCATGAAACATATTTTGAAGGAACGGCCAATTTTTTTGTAATGTCATCATTTTAGTGCTATTGTCACCTCCTGTAACTAACCCTCTGATCTCAGTCACAAGGGGTAGCATCTCCGAAATTTGGCTTGCTAATGTGACCAGTTAGCTCAATTAAGATGGCAGATCCTTGCATGAATGTGATTACAGACTGTACTAATGCCTCCTATATGCATCTATTATTTCAGCAACTGGCCATAATCTGTGTATTGTCATATAAAACAATGATTTAGCTGATGACTGTAAATTAAATAGCTCCTTTCCTAAGTCAAATACACAACCTAAACTCAGAAATATCCATGAAATTACTCAAACCACAGGATAAAGATAGAGGGTGTTAAGGACATCACCTTAACACCTGAAATCCATTATGTATGAAGCAGAACTGGGCTCAACCAGCTCTTGCTTCTCTATACAAATGATTTTATTCTCCCTACCCTCCTCCCATCCCATCCCCTGAATTTCTGAATCTTCCATTAGTGCACACTACCAGCAGCAGCCTCAAGTCAGCAGTTACCTTCTTTCCCTAAATAGCACTTATCCAGACCTAAGTAAAGGCCCTAAATAGAGGAAGGAACACAGATACAGTCTCTGCTCAGTCACGTTTGATATTGGATATGACACAGACATTCTGACACAGAATTTGACACTAGGTGTTTGTTTTTTTGTTTTTACTTTTTGGCCCACCATGCAGCATGTGGAATCTTAAGTTCCAAGACCTGGGATTGAACTTGTACCCCCTGCAGTGGAAGCGCGGATTCTTAACCGCTGGACCGCTGGGGAAGTTCCGACACCAGGGGGGTTTTGATGCCGCTGTTTTAACTTGGTCATTTTGATGTGGGAATATTGACTCAATCGAAAAGTTAGCCACGAAACTTTAGCATTTTCCCCCTTAAATAATGTAAATAATGTGTTCATTTTGACCACCATCCTAGTTGAGGATAGGATGACAGTTGTGCCTTTTGCGCACATTACCTGGTAACTTAAAAGAGGTTAGGACTTCCCTGGTGGTCCAGTGGTAAAGAATCTGCCTTACAATGCAGGGGACATGGGTTTGATCCCTGGTCAGGGAACTAAGATCCCACATGCCACAGGGCAACTAAGCCCATGTGCCACAACTACTGAGCTCGTGCGCCTCAACTAGAGAGCCTGCGTGCCACAGACTACAGAGCCCACGCGCCCTGGAGCCTGCGCGCCACAACTAGGAGAAAACCCACACGCCACATCTAGAGAGAAGCCCGCGCACTGCAACGAAGAGCCCATGAGCCGCAAGAAAAGATCCCACATGCCACAACTAAGACCTGACGCAGCCAAAACTCAATAATAGAATAAAAAGAAAACAAAACAGAGGTTTACATTTTGACAAAGCCACTTTGATGCAGCCTTGCAATGCTCATAGGTACTCTGGCCAAGTTCTGGCAGCTGCTTTGGAGCCACTTATAAAATGCTTCTTTATAAAACTAATAAACAATCTAGGGTGAGCCACGTACAAGAGCTTTGTGCTTTTCAGTACTAACTGCTGGACCGATTCAACATCTTTCCCCTCTGGCTCAGGAAGCCCTTGGAGCCAGGTGGCTGTGAGACAGCCAGTTCCACCCGCAGTCCTCAAAGGGCTGCAAGTATTTACCAACTAGCAGGGAAACTTATCCAATTCAGGAGTTTTCTTGGAAGTCCATCCTGAGTCCACTGTAGCAATTTTTTCCCCTTAATTTCATAGACACTGCCACCGAAAGTATATTTCTTCCAGGGAGCCTTCTAAAGAGAACTATATGTGTGTTCCCAAAGTTCACATACATGGCTTTTTAAAAATTTTACATTCTCTTTTTAAATGTGGTTACTCAACCAAACAAGAATACATCTGCTATTCTGTAGTGCGCTGCCTAACTGCTTGATTTCACTGTGTGGAAGACAGCTCTTAATATTTCTTAGGGTTATCTACCATTAGGGTTGGGATGTAGTAACCCACCTCTGCAGATGCTTTTCCTCTGGTTGGTTAGGGCATCAAAGACCAGTGCTAAGAAGTTGCATAAAGTTACTTCAAAATGTATCACAAAATTAAAAAAACAATTTTCTGTGGCTGCAAGAACTTCACCACCTAGAGAAATGCTGATTTATTACCTCTGTCTCACTGAACAGTACAAAATAATTAAGCCCGCTTCTCTTATGCCTGAGTCTTAGAAGGACAAAGTCATGAAACAAAAGCCTCTTTGAAGAATGAATGGGATGGCAGAGATCCCACAGAAGTCTGAGCCCTGGGGATAGCCTGGAGCTGGTATGGCTGACATAGGGCATAGGGTGGTAGCCAGAAATTCAACTTAGTCCTTCAGCTCTCCCCAGAACAGGAAAGATGATGACCTGCAGAATTTAGCTAAAGTCCAGAATTAACATCACAATCAAAATAACCACACCCCTTCAAAGGAAAGCAGACTTGAATCCAAGAGAGTACTTACACTGAAGTCAGAGATGAAGAAATAAAGGGATAAGTGATTAGGACCATTTTTACCTTTTCCTTTGGTACACAATATATGAACTTCCTTTCATTTAAAAAAATTGCTTAGAATAAAGGAGTACTTAATTAAGCTGAAGTATGCAAGAAGGCTAGGGAGAATTGCAATAAGCTATATAAAAATGACTGAAGTTAGCCAACAGAAGACATCTGAAGGTCTGTCCACGTCAGACTGTTAGTTTTAGATAGAAAACTCTCGGAAGGCAGAGTATGTGTTTGTAGCACTGTGGCTTGTGCAATTAGTATATGTCTGCAGATGAAGGACCAAACCTCCAGGGAAAAGATGCTGACCTTGTCTGGCCAAGACTGTCAACCACTATTATCTCCAGGGACCACTGGAATGTCAGGCAACCACTTAAATTACATGGACAAAGCTACAAGGCCACAAAAAACCCCGCATCCTGATACACATTGCCTGCTGCCAATTTCCCCCTCAAAGAGACAAGCAATTAATGCTGCAGGCCAGTAATGAATTGGGCTACTTGTGCCTCAATCTGGATTACTTCTTGAAGGAACAGGATAAAGTCATGCTTTCTGCTTAATAATTCAAGACGCATAAACATCATACACAGAGTGGAAAATTCTCTTGGATCCTGAACTCTGCTTTTGCCCTGTGAGGACCCACATGTTAAATATGATACTTCTTGATCTTCGGTATGCTTGAGAGAATAGAAATCTGAACCAGCAAACAGCAAAGCCCACAGCACAGAATTTATTGGGATTACTCACTAAGTATTGATAATGCATACACATCCAACATCATCGAATAAAAATAATGTTAGTTAATTTTTTAAAAACAGCAAGCCTTCCATTGGGGTCTTTAAAGTCAAAAACTCACTGATGACTGTATCTTTAATAAATGAAATGACCAAAACTAGTGAAGTCAGATGTAACTCAATCAACTCTCAAACTCAATATTGCCAACATGTTTTTCTACTTAAAAAGCAAACAAAAAGGAAAGCCTCGTAATTTAGCAATTACTATGTTTCTGGGTTTTTGCTCTCAAATGCCGCAGAAAGATATGTGATGAAAGGAAGCAAAGCACCTAGTCTCAGCAGTCTTCTTAAAAACCTTAAGTTTGCTTTCACAATATAAATATAAATATTTAGATCCCCATCCAATGGATTTCTTCACTTATGTGAGCAGGAATGTTCTCAAAATCTTAGTCTTTACTCTTGCTTCATACTACAGCTGTTTGATTGAACTACCACTACCAGTAAAATCCCTCAGTATTGGCTAGATTAAATCACTAGGTAAGAATTCATTACAATCTCTTCCAAGAAACCAAGATAATCTTAACACAGATTTTAGTGGCTAATATGTTACAGTACTTATGGATACTTTGTTTTCTATGGCAAGTATGTTGAAAATTCATCACTAATAAGTGAATTTCATAACACACACAGAAATAAATAAATCTATTACAATTTAAGAACATCCATAAACTGTCCTCACTATTCCCAATGATTTAAATATAAAATGTAATTATACAAAATCAAAATTCCTTGCCCAGTTTAACCCTGTATACCAAACAGTATAAGTGCTGAAAATGAGAAAAATTTTAATAAATCTCACATTAAGAGCCTTGGATACCACTTTGCATTAGTGATGGCAGAAAAAGGTAAGGAGAAAAATTTTCCAGAGATTTTTTAAAGGAAGAATGAATGTAAGAGAAAATTCCTTTGGACTCTATACTTTTTTAAGAATTCTGTACCTTTTAATACTTCAACATGATGCCAAGAAAAGAATTTACTGAATAAAAGTAGCCAGGAAGGGAATCAAACATTTGTAAGATAAATTTATTATTTTTCTGACCAAAGTGCAATTTTTAAATCTTCTTAAACAACTACGAAAAAAAGTATTCAAGAAAATAAAATACAAATGGGAAATTTAACCATTAGGTTTCTTCTGCTTTGTGCTAACCCTATGCTTAGTCTAGAAAACAAACAAAAAAAAGCTTTGAAGTCTTACTAAAACACTAACCAAATCATTTTACCATAAATCTACTAAGTACATGCATTTCAAGGTTCCACTACTAGGAATTTTGTTAAGATCAGTTTAATCATTAATAACATTATATAATAGAGCAAAAGGAACACATGTCATTAGATGTGATCCTTGCCCCTTACCCTCAGATTTATGTCAGAATAAAACTGACAATTCCACCAGGCTCTGAACCCCCAGTGCCCCCATCCCAACCCCTAGAAGCAAAGACTATGCCCTGCAAACAACTCTGTACAAACTGTAGTAAAGCAAAGCTTAAGTTTTCTTACCTTTCTATAGGAAATGGTCAGCTATTTGATAAATACTAAAATACTTCTAGGAATTCATTTCATGACTTTGTTTACCAAACACATTGTCCAAGAACTCACTACACAAAAAGTTCCTTAGAATTTGGTCCATAAATTCACTTAACAGGTTGGAAATTTAAATCCTGCAAGAGAAAGAAGACGTGGGGAATCCCTAATCCAAACATGTTGTAATTACTTAAGGGATATACGCACATACTAAAAAGTCTTGCTCACAGAAGGCACAAACTATAAAAGGGATATTCTTTTTGAATAAAAACAAAAAACTAGCTAACACCCTTCTTTGTTTTGTGAGCACCATAGCTAAGATGAAGTTAGACTCGAATTCACTGTCTACTCCTGTGACCAAAAAAAAAAAAAAAAAAGAAGATAAAAAATCTGTCTTACTACATACTTTCCAGCCATTAATTGAGATGTAATTATGAAAGATTAAAATTGCCTTAAAAAGGGGTTGTGATAGCAGCTATCAAAGCAATATTCAAGCCTGATTTCAAGGATGCTTTCAGGTTTAGAGTTAGCCTTCTTTGTCAAAAATCTTCACAACTTCATCAAAAACCTGTAAAGGAAAAGGATAATAATAATAATTTAAAAGGCAAATATTGTTAAAACACCATATGGCTAAGTTCCTGTTAAAAGTCAATTTTACATGAATTTTCAAAATGGATTATTAAAAAAAAACATTATAATTTCTTAGTTTCATCTATTTTACTTTAGACAGTAGTACAATACCGTAAATAATTATGAACGTGTTGCTTCAATATAAAATTATGAACATGTTGCTTCAATTTTACTAGTGCTTTCAGGACAAAGCAAACTTCTTGATAGGCTACCAATATTATAAAAAGTAAAAGTAAACTGAAGTGGCTTATCTTCCTAGTTCTGATTCTAAAACACTAAGTCTTCTGTATTACCTCACCTCTACAGGAAGGGACCATGGGTAAAAAACCAAAAATGACTATATGATAAAAAAAGGTCCAGGGGAAGATGATTCAGGGAATCAGGGAAAGATCAGGTGAATTTAAGAGACACTAGTAGCGGCTGGGCACTGAGAGTCCACAAACCACAGTACAGAGACCCAAGATTCATGAAGGAAGAGGCAAGCATTGGGTCGTGGAAACCCTGTACCTCTGGAGCTACATGCTCTGTGACGGAAGAGATGAAAGAAACCGGGGACTCTTCAGCTAGATGATTTGCTATTCATGTTACAGATTTTAAAAAAATGATCATGGTCCAAAATGCGAATTTTCCAGTGCTTGAGAAAAGAGGTTTGGAATTAATACACCACCCACTTTTTACAAAGAACAAGTCTGAAATTGTAAAACCCATCTTAGACTCTATTCAAAAAGAAGTACACCTGAAACTAACACAATATTGTAAATTGATAAAATATACATACTTTAATTTAAAAAAAGAAGAAAAAGCCTAGCTTTTCATTCAGTCTCCAGTGTTTTGAAAAGCAAACTAATCTGTTACGGTATTTCTTTTTCTCCTGCATATTGCTCCCCTCCCTGCCCCAAATCACATTGTTACTTTACTACCAGGCAGGCTAGGGATACTCACTTCATCAACAGATTTAGAAGCATCTATTTTCTTGACTTTCCCCATTTCTTCATATAAGTCAATAATTGGCTTTGTTGACTGAAGATAGGTTTGAATTCTGCAACAGAAGCAAATATTGCGAAGTTCTAAGCATACTTCTCTCCCCTGTTTAGGACAGATCGGGGGACAATACAGAATAAAACCCAGTTGGCTCCCTCCCTTATCAGCTTTTTGGACAAGCCATTCTACATATTTAAGCATGACATTTTCTTTTTCTGGTCCAAAATGGGGCACGTGTTTAATCTGTTACTCAAGTTCCAAACTGAGACGTGGTGGCAATGTGTAAAAACTGCAAAGTACCTCTTTTCCAAGCTCTCTCTGTTGTCATCGCTTCTACCACTACTCTTTCCCCTCTCAAGACATCGTTCAATACAGATCTAAAAAGAGAAATATATAAAAAGTTACTTTTAAAAAGATATGAATTTGCCAGTCTTTTAAACCTGAAAAGAGAAGAAAGTTCAAAGAGATTACCAACAAAACCCTGCATTAAACCCAATGTGTTTAATTCATTAATCAACATGCAAAGTTGAAACATGTGGTTCAATTTATATAAACTAGGTTAAATAAGTACAGAGCATAATAAGAATTCATTCATGACTCAGTTTTTCCTGTGTATTTTTTTTCAAACCGCAATAAAGAGATGATCTCTATGTGTATGGTTCCATCTATTATTAACTTATTAGGTATGAATTACATGCGTCAAACTTTGTTCCATTTTTGCTTACTTTTTGATAATTCCATAAATATCCAAATATTTAAGAGTTAACATATTTGCATTTGAATAAAGTATCCCTTGTTAATCGTGAATAAACATTCCTTAGTTATAAAGCTGTGGTAACATTCTAAAATTAACTCTGAAGAATAAGTGAAAACATATTTTTGGGGGTTGGAAAAAGAGTTACATTTTAAAACAACTCAAAGGCTGCAGCAAGTCTCTCCACCACAGGCACATTTGCAATTCAACCTAAGAATAGTCAACTTCCTTCAAGGCAGTACTGCTGATTCTTATTCTTTCAGGCCGTTGGCATTAATTTAATAAAGTTTATATTACAGCTGTCATACAGAGTCAGGCCTTTTAATTAAATGATTCCGGGGGAAAAAAAAAAAAAGATACTGAGAAATTCATTTAGTTATTCAAAAGTATGTCTGGGTATGTTATTAGAAGTACCAGAAAGAAAAAGACTGCTTTCCTGCTTTTTTTCATTTCACTCTTAGAAGACAAATCAGCTATCATACATGTTTCTTTAAAGTAGAAAGTTTTCCCAACTTCCCAGAAATGTGTGTTTCTTTTCCAGTAAACGACATCCTAAGGCAAGATACTCTCTGATAATAGTGCCTACTCAAGAAGTAACAATGCAGCTTCATTACCTAACATGGTATGAGTCAATTCTTAACGCAAAACACAAATTATTATTTTGAAAATAAAGCAAGTTTTAGGCCCACAATATTGCTGATGCCAAATATCTTAAGATAGCGCTCTTCTGTGCCTCCAACTTACCAATTCAAAAAATACTGCTGTCGATATAAAATGTAAATATAAGTGAAACAAATCACTTTCTTTTTCTCTAATAGTTGACCATCAGCTGTTTAAAGCCCATATAGGCAGATAAAGATTTTCATTACCTCATTATTACAGTCAAAAAACAAAACGAAAGATACATCAGCCTTCCCATCCATGGTCTTGTTCCAACCTTGAAGGTTGTCTTGATTTCTTGGAAACCCATCAATCAAGAATTTATTCTTCTGAGCATTGGCCGCCATCGTCTGATCCATTTCCTAATGAAAAAGGGAAGATTTAAGTTCAACACTATATTAATGCAATTTCTTAAGCAGAGTGGTAGCTATATGGGTGTGTTTTATTATTATTCTTTAAATCATAAGCATGGAGGGTGCATAGGAAAAAAAAGACTTAAAGGAAATAACATGTTTGCCTCAACCTGGTAGAGTTATGGTTATGTATCCCCCATTTTATACACATACACACACAATTTTTTTTCTGTAGTTTTAAAATTTTCTACAGTTAAGCATATATTATTTTCACGAAGTTATAAACAGCAAAAAGAGAAAAATAAGCATTAACCAGTATCTTTGCTCCAGTCAATAGAGACCCTTATCTTGCCTTCCCTTTCCTCATCCCAGGTCATTTTGCTATGGTAGGAAGTATGCTGCTTCTATAGGTACTCAGATTCTCTGCAATAATTCAAGTCCAACTGCAAAAAGCTTTGGATATATAAAGAGATTGCTAGCATTAATTATTAGTGTAGGAGTCAATACTCTTTTTTTTTTTTTTAAACTGAAGCTAATTTAAACCTAAATGCCACTGGCCACACCAAAACACAGGTAGCAAAGGAAACAATACATTCAGAAAGACAGCAAGAATTGCACATTTCGCCATCCTCTTCCAAAGCCTGAATTTAGGTAGAATGTGGAAATATGTAACTGGGAGATACAGATCTCGAATCTCCAAATCCTTACCACTGTCAATCACATGAGATAAGCACAGATGCATGCCTTTGACAAACTCCAGAGGAGCCTCTACTCTAAAGCAAACCGACATCCAGTTCCCTCAGTGCTCAAACTTTCCTGGTTCAAGAAGAACAACGACTGTCAGGACCCCTAATTCCTTTATCTGAGGGTTGGCTTTAACCCAGCATCTAGCTTCTCCAATATCCACAAAATTTCAGAATGCTTTTGGACTCCTGCTATAGCATTTCTATCCCAATTATGGTAGTAGAAGATATCTGAAGGGGTACATCAATATTCTACTCACTCAACATACACTCATTCAAGGCCTACCATCAGGGAACACGAAGAGCAAGGTCATGGCCCCTGGCGGGCTCACAGTCCAGTGCGTAACAAATATGTGTAAGTAAATGTGCTAAGTTCTATACTGAGGTATGCAAGGATGCTGTGATAAAACGAAGAAGCAAGCACAAACTACCTGGGAAACTGCCAGGAAGAGCTTTACCAAAGAGGTGGCAGAGGAGCTGAATTCTGAATAATGAAATGGCAGGCAGACAGGGATCAAGGTACTCCAGATGGTGTCAACTGGATGTTAAAGGCTCAGAAATGAAGAAGCATAACAGCTTTGATGAATCTGAAATAAGCTGGTAGAGGTGAACCTTAGGATGCATGTAGAGAGTGGAAGGAGAAATGACTAGAAAGTAGGTAGGGCCAAAATTAATGAAAAACTTGTTATACCACACTAAGGATTTGGTTTTTATTCTGCAAGCAATACAGGATCACTGAGAAATTTTAAGCAGTAGAAGAACATGCTCCCATCACCTTTAGAAAAAAAAATCATCCATGAAGGATGGATTAGAAGGGGACAAAGATGGATTAAAGGCAAAAGACTAATGATAAGGCTCTAGTGATGGTCCAAATAAGAAAAAAAGAGGATCTTGGGACTTCCCTGGTGGTGCAGTGGTTAAGGATCCACCTGCCAATGCAGGGGACACGGGTTCGATCCCCAGTCCAGGAAGATCTCACATACCGCTGAGCAACTAAGCCCATGCACCACAACTACTGAGCCTGCGAGCCACAACTACTGAAGCCCGCATGCCTAGAGCCTGTGCTCCACAACAAGGGCACGGGCTTGCAACGGGAAGCCCGCACACCACAACGAAGAGCAGCCCCCGCTCGCCGCAACTAGAGAAAGCCCGCACACAGCAACGAAGAGTCAACGCAGCCAAAATATAAATAAGTAAAAAATGAAAAATATATTTCAGTGATTAATTTCCCAACATAATGTCTGCATTCTTCCCAATATTATTTTTAAAAAAAAAAAGACAAAAAGAGGATCTGAACTAAGATGATAGTACTAATAGAGGAGAAAAAAACTATCAATAAATAGAAGAGGATAAAGAGAAAGATAATTGAAAGGATCTGCTCACTGAGTGGATTTGGGAAATTGAGGAAGAGGTGGAAAATACAGGATGGCTCCCAGATTTCTGGCTTGGGCAGCTCGGTAGATGGTAGAACCATTAACCAGGATAGGAAATAAAGGGTGATCACATTTTAGATGATACAGTCAGACTCGGACATGTTGATTTTGAGATACTTGTGAGACATTCAGATGGATGCCTAATAGTTAGTTAGAAATATAGGTCTGGGGAATTCCCTGGCAGTCCAGTGGTTAGGACTCCGTGCTTTCACTGCTGCTGGTGCAGGTTCGATCCTTGCTCAGGGAACCAAGATCCTCCAAGAGGCGGAGTGCAGCCAAAAAAAAAAAGAAATATAGGTCTGGAGTTCAGAAAAAGAGATTTGTGCTAGAATTAGAGATAGATTCTGGGATCATTAGCACAGTGTAAACCTTGGACATGGCTAACAACATCCAGCAAGAAATGTATAAAATAAGAGGAGGACCAAGGACGAAACCCCGAGAAGCATCATGGTTTAAGAAACTTGCAGAAGAAGAGTTATCAAAGGAGATTTAAGAAATAGCAGTCACTGAAGGAGGAAGAGAATCAAGAGAAATGGTGTCACAGAGAACAAAGGAGGAACGAGTTTCAAAAAGACAGGAAGTTAAAGGCTACAAGAAAAATGACTGAAAATATCCCCTAGATTTGATAGAGATCACTGGTAACATCAGCAAGAATAGTTTCAATGAAGATGGAAATAGAGTCTTAGTGCAAAGAGCTGAAGAGTAGAAAATGAAAAAGTAAAAAATGTAGACTATTCTTTCACAATTAAGCATAAAAGTGGAGAAAGGGCATTAAATCCAGAGAACAAGGAGAGAGGATTTAGTTACTCTGAATGGAAGCATTCCAATCTCTGAAACAAGAGTTAAGAATGTGTGTGAATGCGCCACTCTTCAAGTTTCTCTGGTTCCAATCAGAAGCTCATGTATCTCTTTTCCATTGGGCTTCAACTATTTCTTGCTGTGCCCACTCTTCCATTTCTCCTTCACGTTTCTTGTATGTGAAAATATCTATTAATGACTATAATCTTGAGAATCTATAGTGGAGAGATATCATGTAAATGCAAGGTATCTGTTTTTAGGTTGGACCTATTTTCGTTTGATAGCTGTTTGTCTCAGCATTTCACACTGAAGACTGTGATGCATGCACCAGAAAAAGAAACATCAAGACTGAGAGAATGGCAACAACCGGAGGGTCATGGGAGGGAGAGAGGGAGGGAAAGGAAGAGGGAGGGAAAGGAAGAGGGAGGGAGGGACAAAGTCTGGAAGAAAACGGAAAAGGGAAAGGAGGAAAAAGAAATAGAAATGGAAGGAGGATGGATTGTCTGCACACTGGGAAGGGTCAAGTGTACACATATGAATGTTCAGTTGTAGCTGATCCTAGACCAAGGTAGAGAATGTTTCCTACTGTCCAATTTCTTCCCAGATGAAAGTGGAACTTCCAGTTCTGCCATTCTCAAACACCATGACCACCCTCCACAATCAAGAAATTCAATACTCTGATTTCTTTCATTACTCAAAGGGAAGGCAGATTTAATTTCTCAGTTCCTTGTTGGTTTTAACTGGTTGGCATTCACACTCCTTACCCTCCTCAACAAACTGATGGTTATCTCAACTGGCACAATCTTTCCATCTTTAATGTACTTTTCAATGAGTTCACCATACTGTGAATCTGGGTTCTTCCTTTCATCACGAAGAAGCTCTCCTGCAGAAAGGTGTGTGTAGCCATATTTCTGAAAGAACAAACACATAGGAAAAAGATCAAAATACATTCAACCCAGGGTTAGGACTACTGTTTGTTTCCCTTCATGGTAACTTTCATATTCTAATTTTTCTATAATAAACAAGCTTTGCTTATATAATAAATAAATAATAAAGAAAAACTGAAGAGAGATTTCATACAATCCAGTTTGCTTAAAAAATATCCTTAACCTATGTAGCATATGGTAGCTATAATGTTCACAAATCATGCAATCAACCCGAAACTTATTTAACCATTCAAGGCATTAACAGCTCATCGTATTCTTTCACAAACACAAAGTTTAAATGTTATTAATAATGTTCAAAGAAATGTCTAACAAAAATCTATATAATTCAAGGCAAAACCCCCAAAATCTTACCACAGTTGGCTGTACCCACCTTCTATAAGATCCTCCCTCCCTTAAACTCAACACATCTAAATTGAACTCATCAGCACTTACACAAACCCCATTCTTCTGTTTTGTTCCCTTTCTCAGTAAACAGTACAAGTCCTACCCCTCCATGAAATTCGCTTTCCTGACCACTCTGGAGAGTGGACACATAATCAAATAGTGTCTTAGAATATCACTGTCTCTCCATCTAAGCCAGTATCTTCTTTACCACTCTCAAAAGTCCATTTCCCACCTCTCTAGTTGTGACTAGAGAGGTCTCATCTGTAAAATGGGAATATAGATACCTATTTTATAATTCAGTGGTGATGATTAAATGAGATAATGTACTTACATAAAATGCCTACCAAAGAGCCTGACAGGTAGCAGGAGATAAAAGCCATCAATTACCTCCTTGCCATCATGAAGATACTTATCTTAAATAACCTGGAAGCATTTTTATATTATATATACACAGCATTTTTATATTATTACATACACGCGTGTGTGTGCATGTGTGTATATATATGTATTCACTTTAAAGGTTTTTGGGTTTTTTAAAAAATAAATTTATTTATTTATTTTTGGCTGTGCTGAGTCTTCATGGCTGTGCGTGGGCTTTCTCTAGTTGTGACGAGTGGGGGCTACTCTTTGTTGCAGTGTGTGGGATTCTCACTGCAGTGGCTTCTCTCTGCTGCAGAGCACGGGCCCCAGAGTGCACAGGCTTAAGTAGTTGTGGCACGCAGGCTCAGCAGTTGTGGCTCATGGGCTCTAGAGCACAGGCTCAGCAGTTGCGGTGCATGGGCTTAGTTGCTCCGCAGCATGTGGGATCTTCCCGGATCAGGGCTCGAACTCGTGTCCCCTGCGTTGGCAGGCGGATTCTTGACCACTGTGCCACCAGGGAAGTCCGGCTTTAAAGGTTTTGACAGAGAGACCAATCAAAGGACTTAAGTGAGATAAAAGATATGAATACACTGTGAAAGGTCAGGAGTATAGTAGTATTACAATTGTGATGGTCATTATTAAGGATTTACAAATGATGTATTAGGTCAGGGAATAGGATAATAGTTGAACTAAGTCACATAAGATGCTATAGTGTTATTCTGCCATTTCCCCGTGGTTGGAATGAGAAAACAATACAGATCTAAGAGACAATTATGAATACTGAAAAGCTTCTTCCTCCACATGAACTAGCATGTTCCCTTTTATTAAATCAAAAGAACTATAAAATCTATTTTCATAATAATAATTTTCATAATAATAAAATAGATTATTTTTACTCTCAAATATCAGAATACTGAGATCTATATTCAATGTTCAATTACAGCAATCATCTAGTCCCAAATTTTTAAGATTCCCTAAATGGGATTTTATCTCATTCATAGTAAGTGTACCATAAATAATTGATAACTTAAATTTTATCTTTAATTTCAATGTTAAAATTTGAGGCAGCTCACACTCCCACCCCTCCTTCCAGAATAGAATGTTTCAATTGCACATTTTACAAAACTTAACTCTCTCAATTACTGAGGCTACAGTGAGTTTTCTCTCTCTCTCTCTCTTTTTTTTTAAGATTGCAGAAGCCATTCTTTACTCCTTTTCTGTCTCTATTGCTGGCTAAACTTGTTCTTGTTTATTACTAAAGTAAGCCAACAATAAGGTAGTCAGCAAAGAAAAACAAACTAAATAGTTTATTTGCTGACTAAAATTGGATATAAAGTTTGAGGAGAATAAACAAAAACCGCAGTATCACTCATGTCTCTCTTAGGCATACAGCTCCTTGCATGAAAAGAAATGATAAAAAGTGTATTTAGTTGTTGTAATAGGCTTTTAAAAACACTCCCATCATTTACAGAAAATGGAAATAAATACAAAAGTACTTAATTATTTAAACTGTTATTTTAAAATTATTTTCACACCACACCATTTTTAAATGCCTACTTTTATCACCAAGTATAAATTTTTGAAAGACAGGTATGGATATGGAAAAGACTTTATAAAAAACGAGATGTGACCTACTTTCCCATTTACTATGTACAATTTTCAGAAAGCATTTTGCAACGGCTGTCCACAAAATTTTACAGCAGCTTCATTTTCCACTGCTTACTCTGGCTCCTGCTTGGAAGTCTATGCTTGCTGGATGCTCTCATCTGGTCTAGAGATTATAGCATACGGTAATATTGAATAAATGCAGAGACAAACAGTGCTAAACAATGGCAAACGCTCAGTGAAACACCAACAATACAGATTGCTCTGTACAGATTGCCTTGGCTGTATGAACAACATATACATTTAGAAACCCAGCTAGTAATTTAGAAATTAGTACACACACTGTTTGTTTCCTGACATTGAAGAGCTCAAATCTGCAAGCTTACATTACATTACAATGGGTTTTGGCATATCACTTTTTTAAAAGAGAGACTAGTTGTAAATTGTAGAAGTGTACAAATGATATGTTTTTAAAAAATTACACAGAAAACAACCTTATCTGCAAAGTCCAAGGAGATAAGGAATTTAAATAAATATAATCATGTCAAATCTATATATGTCTTTCTATTTCTCATCCACATTCCATTTTTTAAAATCCTCTATTTACCAGTTACTTTTTTATACTATATTTTTCTTAAGGATTTTGCTGAAGCTTTCCACTTACCACAGAGTTTCTACAACAAAAAAGCAACTATCACTTACACACTAGTTATTATGGTATTTAATTATAGCTAGACTTTAAAGAGCATGTTTTCAAAGCATTCTGCTGTCATTAAGTAGTCACTGATGCCAATTTTGAGGAAAGCAAGAATGGATATTTCCCAGGCTTAACCCAAACTTTTTCACATTCTCTGAAATTTCCTAGCAATTAAAATCTAGTGGGTCACTAATTACAGTCTTAAGACCAACATTTAAACCACAGCAAATTATAAACACTATAAACTATAATAGCTACAATTACAAGCCACTATTCAGCTAAAAATAGTTTTCTAGTGACAAATGTATAAATTCAATTCATTTAGAGTAAACGTCTAAATTTTTTTACTTTCATTTTCTCCTTTAAGAAGCTGAAAAACAACTCAATAACTTCTGTGAATTAGACACTAAGATTTGGAGGGAGGAGAAATGCACCATATTCTCAACAAGTACAGAACAGCACTCTGTTACTACAACTAAGCAAATGTTGACAATTTTACAGTATCAAATCTCAAATCATCTCGATAACTTCTCTCCCTTCTTAGCAATTCTCTTTCCTCCTTTCTAAATTTAGGTAATGTCGTTCTATGTGAATAGAAACAACAACAAAAAGAATCAAAACCAAAACAATAGCAAAAAAAAGAGTTCAAGGTACAAATGATGCGTAAATGGCAAGTCCTTGGGGGCAGAGGAGATCCACATGCCAGGCACCTCCTCCTGTGAGTATGGCAATTAGAAAGTGCCATTGGACTGCTACTGAGCCTTGAGCTACATAGAGGGAACACAGCAGAGATAGCAGATACAAATATATTTTTAAAGCAACTGAATTAAAACTACTGGTGTCCTTTAAATAGCTGACACATCTATGAAGCATCTAAGACTAAGTTACTTTTCATTCCCTGTAAGATTAGTGAACCTTAAAAATCTAATTCTGATTATGTACTGTGAACAAGGCACCTTCAGCATAACACCTGGAAATGCTATTCGGAGCCATCCAGACTCACCAGTTTGGCACTGTTGCAAACAATGTCTTTAGAGCTTACAGCATCCCAGCAACACTTCACGTAAGGCTATCATTTATTTCAAAAGGCATTTCCAACAGAACTTTTTCTGATTACTTTGAGATGTCTGATAAGCACTTTCCAGTAACATTACCTGCCAGTCTTGGAGAACTTACTTTTGACTGTAAGAACTGCTGTACAGTGCCCAGATGCTTAAAATTGGTGAACTGTTTAGGGTTCCTTCCAGTTTTACCCACAGAGGGTTAGAAAAAGGATTTTTCTTATAATCACCAATTTACAGAGGTTAGAAAGAAAGAAAGGAAGGGAGGGAGGGAAGGAGGGAGGAATGGGAGTGGATACAGAGAGAGAAAGGGAAGGGGTAGGGAAAAGAGGAAGGAAGGAGGAAAGGAGGCATAGGAAGGAAAGAAGACAGTGGGAGAGGGGTTAAATATAATATCTGACTTAAATTGCTAGCTGATTTCCAATCTCATTTTTAGTCCACCCTCATTGTATTTCCAAATGTGTACATCACGTTTGACCATGCCTATTTAATTACAAATCTACATATTAACTATAAACTATGAAAGTTATAAACCAAGCTAAATCTTTTCTTAGGCAAAATCTTTAGCAGACACACTCCAAATTAACATGAAGCATATTTCTTTCTCTAATTAAAGAGTGATAGTTTAAAAGCTTATATCCTGCAAAGGAGAAAAGAGGAGGGATATAATCCATTCAACTGCAGACAATTACAGCACTGTTTTATTTTCCTCAATGTTTTGCTCTTCATGTAAGAAAACCTTAATTCAGGCAATACATGGAACTTATTTTAAATCCATAAATATTTATTAAGTCTCTATAAAGTGCCAGGCAATGTGCTAATTTGGGGAAATAAATAGGTTATATTCACAAAGGATG